TTTCAATGCCTCCGCCAGGAGTCGAACCCTGGACCTCTGGTTTACTTTTCTTACGCTCTACCACGGAATTAGATTGCTATCTAAGTTCGTGGCTCTACCGAATGAGACAACAAGACACTCTCCCTAGTTGAGTCAGTAGGAAGTAGCTTGTATTTTACCAGGGTGACATACTCCCCTTCAAGGAAATAACTTGTCCTGAGTTTTCCAGGGGTCATAGAGATTCCTTTGCAAGCATCACTGATTATTTTGTCATATCTCCGAGTCCCTACATGGGCCCCAATGTAACATAGGTCATTACTTTTTCAATGCCTCTGGTCCTACGCTCCACCGCATGAGCTAAAGAGAAATTCTACCTAGCCGAGTCCGTTGAAGGCAGCTTGTTTTTACCAGGGTGACAATAATTTTTGAAAATAAAACTTAACCTTGATTTCTCATAGGTGTCTCGTAGGTCCAACATCGTTTGAAAGCTTGAAGCTTGTTGTGATGCCTCTTCGTATTTACTATTACTTTATGAGAAATAATCAAGATGACATAAACATCATGTAATCAATAATGTACAGTGACTGGAATTAAAAAAAAACGCAGCAGGGCTAGACCAAGATTTAAACTCTGGACTTCGGACTGCTGAACTATCGTCCTCCCTGATTGAACTACCACTGTTATAACCTGGATGACAGAAGGGTCCTAGTCCAATTTTTCTACAATTACTGAATATACCACTACATGGAACAAAAAAACAGTGCAGTGGGACTAGGATCCAATTGTTTTACTAGGCAAATCTGATAGGGGATACAGGCTTTTGGAGAATTTATGGGAACCCTCAAATGCTCAAAACTGGTTTTTACCTAACATATCCATGATAATTTTAAGATGGGTTAAATGTTGATGCATTGAATTTGTTGAATGCTCATTATATTGCACATTTTATAAAATGGTACTATCTTGGATTTTGACAGTTTCAGAGTTTAATTTGTTATCAATATTTTCAGAAACTCCTGCCAGTAGTGCCAGTACTGGATGGGTCTTTCTCAATTTTCACAAAGTACTTTAGATTTGTGTAAAAAAGTAGTTGTGTGCATTTTTTTGTCCATGTGATATTTTAATTGATGTTGATTGGAAAAGTTTAAAATATTCACTCCGTATGTTTTTTCATTCAGAAAACTCAGACAAAATTATATTGTGAAGATTTTGATAGAGTCTATAAATATAAACATGTTCACCACAGTACTGTATACACTGTGTGATGAGATTTAGGAGGCCATAAATTTTGTGAATCCTGTAGTGCCTAACTTGACCAAATAAAACTGCCTAACTCAATGTAAGCAGACTGATGCCATGGGTTGTATGGTCATGTACAAGGGAAGAGAACTTTACTCTTGTAAACTGTTTTCCATAATGTAGTGTACAACAAAAGCACAGGCCAGATGAATTATTCACTGACTGTCCTGGAAAACCCAGACCATAAACTTCACACAATAAAATAATGTTGTGGTGTGACTTGTCAGATCTTCCAACAAATTTTTACATGTCAGAAATAAACGTAAAACTCATAGCGAGAATGTTTATTTTCCTTTGTATTCATAATTAATCATTTTCATGATGGGCCAATTTAGGCCAAAAAATATTTATTTACCAAATTATACAAGCTCCAATTGTTACACCCTTCTAAACAAACATATAACAGCTCAAGTAAGCTACAACATGTATAATCATGATACCTGATACACATTGTACATAATGTAAGTGTAAAGGTTAAGTAACTATAACTCCATGTACATGCAGAGTATATCTTCCTGCAGCTGTGGCATATGGGAATTGTGTAGAATCAGTTGATTGCTCATTTGCCAAAAGGGCAGGTGAGCATATATGGTACGGTGCAAATTTCTGTAACAGGAGAAAGAGAAATGAATGGTCAGGCCAAAACTAATTAAACCTTGGACCCTCCAAACTTTTAGACAGATGCTCTATCAATTGAGCTACCTGTTTGCAGCTATCGACCCAGTCCAGTTCTGCTGCATTTCTTTAAGCATAGGGACAAAATGTTTAAAACCTTGCAACATTAAAGTTTTGTTTGACAAAAGAAACATTTTATTCTCCCAGCAAGCACTAATTATATATGCATGAAGTGATGAGGGTTGCTAGGGTTGGGGTGGCCTTGGTTCAATTCCCCCAACCACCACACACAAACAAGTGGGGTTACCAAACAGCAGAACTATCATTCAATATATATATATGGGGCAAAGAAGTAATTCCAACAGTGTGGACAAGTTAAGGTTGGCAAATTTTCTGAGCGATCCGCTCCTTTATCAAGACACAGTGGAAACAAAACAGTTACATGTACATATACATCATATTACAAGAAGATAGAACTGATATACTTTAATTGAAAATATAGCTATTATATAAAACCAATAGTCCCCTCGGCTAAAGACAGCCGAAGGCAGCAATTTTAAAAGCTGAGAGCATCGCGGACAAGGAACGCTGATAGTCTAAATATCAGAACACTCTCTGGCTCTGCTCTATAGCGAAAGTGCACTAAGAAGACTCGCCCAATGAAACACAACGACGACCCGCCAAATGATAACCAAAATCGGAGAAAAATTCCTCTAGAAAACTCTTTGACTACTAAATATATATGTAGAGGACCTATTCTTGCGCAAGATGCACTATCACATAAAGTGAGTCAACAAGAGATAAGCACCAAAAAGAAGGGACGAGATATCAAAAACTAGGAACATGTGCACGTGGGAATCTGGCCCGGATTGAGAAAAATCTCAATTTCCTACGGACTGCCCACATTAGTCGCCTCTCAATGCTGCAGTGGATTTAACAGTCACAGCAGGGGGTCCACACTTAGTCGCCTCTTTCGGTTTGCAGGAATAATGCATGTAATTATCAAATAAGTGAGTGCAGGAGGAATACATCTGTAAGTAGATGAAATGGCTAAGATACTGTCTATATTACTTCTTTGACCCATTCAATAATAATAATAATATAATAATATACAACATTTGATATAGCGCCCTATCTAGCTAACATAAGCCACTCTAAAGCGCTTTACAGTACATAGATATACAATGTTATACATTCAATACAATTAGCATATATATTAATCAATACAATACTGAGGAATTCGCAGGAGCTGCCTTATCAGGCGCTAACTACTTATAGTCCTATGCCACCTGGCTAATATCTCCCTTTGTGTGTATGCCTGCGTGTGTGCTGGAGTTGTATTTTGTTCTGTTTGTAGTGGAACCGTGCTTCCAACGGTATCATTTATAGTGCCACCTCCCTTGAATGCTACAGCACAGATACCGCAACACCCACCCCAGACCATTTTATACTTCACCTGGGTTGTTGGAGTTGTGTGAGCAGGAGAAAAACACTTTCTCTAATATTCCATGCGTACGGCGACTTCGGGGATCGAACCCCGGCCGCCTGCTTGGAAGGCCAGAGTGTTAACCACTCGACCAATCCGCCCACAATATATATATCTGCCAATTTTCACTCCAATATTCATAATTTATTTACTTACTATTTTTTGGGTTTTCTTTTGTGATTACATAAGAAAGAAAAGAAAATAGTATTATAATTTATAGATGATAACTTCATATACAAACTATGTCCCTATGAATTATATAATTAAGAAGAAATGAAACATGATTAAAGTTTTTTTCATTTTTTTTTGTCAAAGAACGTTTTGAATAATAAATAGGCCTAGATTCATGCTTTTTAGCCTGTAGTATAATGCTAGGGAAAATTAAAGGCTATCATTTTTTTCACACAAGCGTTTAACAATTTCTGGATAACTAAGCAGCTCAATGCCAGGATGTTTGGTAGGTAGGTGCAATTACATTGCAACTAACAGTTATATTGTATTGTTGACACTGTTGGCACTAATATAATAGTTAAATTTTCAAATTAAACCAGTGCTTTTCAGATTTGCATTAAAAAAATCTTGATTTTTTTTTGAAAAAGAAACTTGATACTGAATTGTCTCTGTCGATCTAAAGTTCATGTTACTATGCTGCATGACCACTATGGTGGGTGATTTGTACTATTTCATTTCTTCTTCTTTTTTGTTAGTTATAAGGGGTGAAGTAACGATAATAATCATGTAACAGTGGGTAAAGGAACACTTAAAGTTACATGAATTAGCGTACCTTCATCTTGGTGCCTCTCTTTTGTGGCAAAGGGATGTAATAATAAATAGCGTTACTTCGTGTTTTTAGAAGCGATGGATCTAAGAAGTAACACTATTTATTGTCCTTTCCTCACACTAATTATTGTCACATCCACAAACAAATTTAGTAATCAATGTTGTTGATTATTTTAAGGTGATCTCATAACCTCAAAACTTAACAATGCTTGTTATTAGGCAAAATTCAATTCTATTCATGATATTCATGTAGATTCACTCCTGAAGTTTTATTATGAACTATTCCAACCTTTGAATTGGAAGAGTTCAAATGTGTCTTCAAGGGTAAATGAGTTAAAGTATTGTAATCTAAATAATATTTCCTGAACTTATATTTCCTGGTGGTTTTTTTACCGGGAAACCAACTGTTGAGCGTTCCTGATATATATTACAATTAATTTCAGGTTAATCACAATACACATTTCATAGCTGATACATTCTTTTGGGATGATTCAACTTCTGACATTACATTAGGATGTTATAATTAGTCACATTACATGAGCTGTATTTCACTTGTTTGATGTCAATATATAGAAGAGGTTACATCAGATAAACTTTATAATCACGTGAACATAAAACCTTATATATGTTAAAAAAAGGTTCAAACTATTATACTGTAATACACCAGGATAGAACAAAAACAAAGGAGACAGCTCAATATATAGGAAATCCTATGACAAACACGAGCAAACATAGAACGAAAGATGTTAAAAAATAAATCTTGGGTCGTTATCTATAGTGTTGGTACGGGGAGGTCAGGATGAGAGGACTTTGGATAATATTAGCTCATTCAGCTGTCACTTCCCAATATATACCCCCTGTATGTGTCAAGGGCATGTCTTTATAGTTTTCATGTACAAGTAAGTATTTCATGTCTTGTATTTACATACAGTATGTACATACAAGGCACTGTTTCCAGCCCTGTAATTAATATGGTTCATGACTGTACATGCTGCAAAAGCTATCAGCCCATGCATCCATAGGAATTAGGGAAGGTGTGGGTAGGATCTGGTTTATTGATTTTGCCTTCATCAGCTGGAGGCCACTGTCTGGTGTTCTCTGAAGCAGCCCACTATATCTGTATCAACTGCTAGGAGACGACCTGTGTTTATTTGTGAGCCTCTACATCTTACAGAGAGATTAGGCAAGCACTGGTAAGTGGTGTGGATACATTCTGGTACACACATCTATATATACATGTATATGTCCTTGTGTATAAATGTGATTAGGTTAATGGACAGATTAGAACACGTGTTGATAGGTCGCTGTAACATGCATTGAGACAACCTGTTACTGCCATTGTTTACATTATGACCTACAAATATCATTGATACTTTTTTGCTGTTTATTTACAGTTCATTTTTGTCTGACCGGGGAACTTCCAACACATCCAGCATTGCTGGTACACACATGCATAGATATATGTAACTGTACATTGTATATGAAATGATTTTGTAGTGACATTTTAAAACGATTTCACAACATTCATAGCTATAGTGATTGAAATGTTATGTTCTTTTAGTTCATATGATAGTTTTTGGTAAATTAATCTGATGATCAACACCTTAAATGTGATACTAATTATAGTTAAGCAGATATTGAAAAATCCACCTGAAAGAAAGTTAATGAAACTTAGTACAGCAATTTTTGCATGCATGTACAGTCTATATTATTGGTTTTAGCTAAAAATGAAACCAAACCAAAATAAAACTGTTTCAACGTTTAAAATGTTCATATAACCTTTTGATTGGGATCAAAAGTGTTAATACCAAAAGGGCTAAAGGTCAACCGTCATGATATTTGGCTATAGTGGAATGCTAGGATGAAGGGCTGTCAACTTTGTTCAAATGAGGGCTTTAGACCTACGTTTAAGGTGGAAAACTTAAATACAAAGTTATTCTGTTTGTAATATATAATGACCTGGACTCATCTCTTGGGTGAAAGCTATAGGACAGGGTCCTGTAACCAACTTCTTCAGGAGTTCAGACAAGGCCTATAGTATATTAGTAACATTTTGCCTGTAGCATGCTTGGATGAAAAAGATCAAGTTTGTTCAATTAAAGGACCTTGACTTTGCAACTCTGTAGGTCCAAAGGGCAAAGCATTAAAATCTTGACATTTACCAACATTTGGTAGAGTGTAGTGGTAAAGTGTGAGTAACGTTAGCATGTACAGTAGGTATAGTGTTACTTTTCGTTCTATTGAGTAGGTAAAGGCCATTGATGTAATTAATTAATTAATTATAAATGAAGGACATTTTGCTGATATAACTGAATATCTATCTAAGTGCTGGCCCGGAGTAGCTCATGATCTAGACTATGGACTATTAATTATTACATTTCATTACATCTTGGAGGCTTGGCCTTTTAATGCTTTGTGATTTGATATACATACTTATGTAGATTACTTTTAAATTACTTGATAAAAGCTTAAGTGGTAGAAAATAAGCAAAGGCTTTCTGACAACAATAATTTTCACAAAAATGAGGTCTGTGATATACACCTGTATCATTTGCGTGCTTGGCTAGCAGTAGTATCATATTATGTAATCCAAACACACAAAGAAATATATATCTTCTTAAAAGTGTTTTTTTTTTTTTATTATTTATGACTTCTTTACTTGATGGTTGTGACTGAATTATTTATTAACCAATTTAAATTAAGGACCCTCAGTAGGACACATTGTACAATTAACATACATGTACATATAATTACAAGAATTCATACAATTCACAAGGAAGGAATACAAAGTATAGCATGCATGTAGATTGATTGACTGTTTCATAATTATATAGCAAGTACATATATTGCATTATTTGGTTAATTCTGCCCAATTAATAATCAGATAATGATAAAAATGAGTATTAATTAACAGACCATGAGGAAATAAGGTTGTAGCTGTTTTCTACAAAGTACATGTTATTATCAAATCTGAGTTTCCCCAGAGTTTGAAGCAAATTCCACACTTCCTGTAATAGTGACAAAAGGAATTTGTCGTTGAGACAGCTTAAGAAAAAGTTCTGTAGTTTGAACTTACCTGCAGGCAAGCTTTTATTATGTGATGCATGGTGGGTCATCCGAACGTCTGGAGAACATAATTTTCCTGGTAATTTCCATACATTTCCCATTTACATGTATGCCATAATAATACACATAGGAACAAATTGTAAGCATGTTAACTGTAGCATATGATGAAAAAGATGAATTTCATATCCCTGGTCTCACCATTTAGCCTCCTGGGCGCATGTGCATGGCCTACTCAACTAAAATTTATATGACAAACAATAATAATAATAAAAAAGATTGAAACTAAAATAAATTATTTTCATGGGTTTTATTGTGTTTGAGTGGTAGCCATTGCCCTTCAAGTCACAACTGTGTTTAAAGTCCATCGCCAGTGTGTACAGTTAGTCAGTTACACATACATGTACATTTGTAGTATGTATACACATTTATCATATAGAAAAGTGGGTGATATTAACCCTTGTACTTTACAGTTAAGAACATGTATATATTTAAAGTACAATTTTCTGTTTTCTGATTATTATCAATTTTTCATCATACAAATTAAATAGCTACACATATTCTTACTTCAATTTCAGGTCAACCAATGTAGAGAAGTGCCACATCTTTTTATCAGTCACTTGAATAGCTGAGACCCTCATCCCTGAAAGGTTCAGTAAATACCAACACAAAGCTGAAACTGGTCATTGCTGTTTATATAATTACACTTGAGGACAACTGCAATCACCAGGTGAAGTCTGTCGTCAATTCTTGGCAAGGAAACCATTGTTTGATGGAGTTTTCGTAAGTGTTTTCATCATGATAATGTTGTACAGATCACTACTTCTTTAAATTTGTGTACCCCGGTTTCAAACTTTTCATAATTCTGTTTGCATCCTACTGTTGCCTAATCTGAATATAGTGACTGCATAAATAGAAGTAATATCACTGACAGGAGAAAAAGAAGCATTAGTGAGGCATACATTTCGTATTAACACATTATTATTATAACATGGAAAAATTGAGTTGGTAGATAGAGGTTCAAAGTGGCACGAAAGAACGTATAGAATCTAATTATTTCATTCATAGAATGTAAATGTCTTAGAAATAAGTTACGGTTATAAAGATCCAGAGTACAATCTTCACAGATAATTACATGCTACCATTTGCACAATAAACTTAAAGGTATCTTTATTTGCTCTCTTCTAGGTTATTACCTAAAGTAATCAATGGGGGTATAGCTGGAATTGTAGGGGTAACATGTGTGTTCCCCATTGACCTGACAAAGACACGCCTACAGAATCAACAGCCAGGACCTAATGGTCAGCTTCTCTACCGCAGTCTGTAAGTGGACATTTTTGATCAGGACTTAGAAATTATTGAACGTTTTTATTGAAATAATATATCAGCTGTATAAATGTGGTTATATTTCATGATGGTTTGATTTTCACTTTGTTTACGAATATAAACATTTCTAATGTGATCCAAGTCAAACACTGAAAAAAGTCTGACCCTGTGAAACAGTAGTACTGTATGTACAGTATATTTCTATTAAGTATAGGCCTATTAAAGGAAATGAAGTTACCAGAAAATATTACAATATGTAAAATACTCTATAATAAATAAAAGGCATTATGATATTCAGTTGAATAAAGTTAATTTGAAAAAAATACACCACCTCTATAAATTTTGATAGATTACAGCAGTTCATATTTTGTAGTACAAACATAATAATCATTGGTCACTTTTAGGTTTAGAATATATATATGATGTTTCGTGTTTTCCATAATTCTTCACAGGTGGGACTGCTTTTCGAAAACCTACAGAAATGAGGGCTTCCTGGGGATGTACAGAGGTAAATAGTAGATGCTGTATAGCGGTTATATTTTGCAGGGGTTTTAATTTCGCTATATTCACGCTTTGACTAGCTAATATCCATGAATTTTAAAAACCAGCGAAATTATCGAAATGTTAACCACTTTTACAGACCTTATCACAACATGTTGAAAATACTTTGACCCAATGCTATTAAGCAAGCTTAAATGAAGTTGAACTCAAATCAGATTATCACCAGACAACTGGGCAGTCCATGTAAAAACAACACTTACATATAAATGGCCACAACATATTTTTGTGTACACAGTAGGTGATTATTTGATTACAGTCTACTCCTACAAAGTTACATACACATTTGATTTTCTTTCGAGTGAATTAAGTCACTGGTGGATCAAGTTTTATTATATCCAAATGCAATACAGCATATAGGTTACAAACATACATAATTAAATATTCAAAATTCATATGTACAAGATGGCGGAGGACAATTCCATTCAAATATATATATGCCTACAGACATGTAATAATGATATCACTTACAGTTTTACAGCATGATTTTTCGTAAAGTTGTGAGAAGTATATAACAATATAATCATATGTGTGACTTTACTACCTGTATATACATGTATGTGACGACATGAAAGGATGACATCATAATGAAAACACTATATATATATATAACTTCAAACAGCCAGAAAGAACCATGGGATGTCATTAAAGTACTATTTAACGCGCTATTAACGAATCTTAAATAACTATTATTATACATGTACACTTATAACAAAGTAGTTTCAAATAATGTTTTAATATAATATCACTACTGAGCGAGGAGAATTTTCCTTTTAGAAGTAGCATGCCACAAATATTTACCCTGTCTATTTAAAGATTTAACACTTTTACAGGTAAAAAATTCTATTAGTTTATAGACACTTGGATGTCGATAATAATACTGTTTGATGTATGTTTTTCTTAAATCAGAATATGCAGGACAAAGTAGTACAAAATGTACTTCATCTTCGATATCATTTTTATCGCAGACTGTACATATTCTCTGACCTCTTGGAATGTTATTATAGCGCCCAGATTNATATGTACTGAATACGAAACTGCGAAATATTGACCCCGCAAATTTAAAGCGCTATACAGTAGTGTACATTTCTCCCACCTCTACATATATACAAGACATACATATATCCCAAGTGAAATACTCAATTAGCATTATATGGCTCTTTCATATGCAATGTAGGTGGATACAAAATCTTTCGAACGGATCTTAAATGGATCTTAAATTTGGGTAAAACCTGAGACTCTGCCAAGGGTTTCATCCCCACTTTATGATCTAATATAAGAGGAAGGAATTCTCTATCCAGCTACACTGTATATCATTTATAAAACGCTAGTAAGTTATCACTGAACTATAATAAAGATTTGTTTTTGTTTCATTATACTTTCCTCAGCGCTATGTATATAATGATACATGTATAAGAATTTTCTTTGTTTGGGAGGGCCCTGTGTTCAACCACCCTAACAAAATATGTCCTTGCAAAGGAGGGCTTTCATGCATCATGCCAAGTGATAATTCATTGTTTCCTCCTTTGCCTTGCCACCCTACAATGCAACTTAAAAATAATTTGTTATCTTGATATTAAAATGCAATTTTACACTAGGTCTCTGTTGTCAAAGCTCCGAGTATGCCATGGTTTTTGTTTGCAGAGTTTTTTTTTATTAAGAGTATATGAAACCATAAGAAAACAGTCTACTTGAAATGTTTCCTTTTTTATCTGCCTGCGAACACATTAACCCATTGTACTTACATCACTTCATGATGTAAATGAAAAAAATGACTGAAACATAAGATTGCATGGTTAGATTCAGTGCTCCATCTAATAATATAAGGAGGCCGATAGAAATAGCCAAGACCACTATTTGTTACAATAGTTAACCTTTACCCTTTCTTTACATCTTCGTGGGAAGGTAGCTTCATTTATAGCTACATTCATTGTACATGTATTTAATGACGGATTATGTGGTTGCAGTTGGCTCCAAAAATACATAACCTTGTCACCCTTTCATAGTATTATGTGGTGGAGACTGTGACAAAATTTGAAAACGGCAAATCAGTGCCGAAAAATTATCCATATTTGACCAAATAGTTGAGAAAAATGCCACAGTTTATTTGTCAATATATTAATTAAATTTGAGCAGAAAGAGCTAGGTTATGTAGGATATTCTGCTAACTTAAAAAAAATGCAAAAATCTCTTCTGTATAGGTCTGGGTTTTCAAACTTTATGGTACATTATACACCACTTTTCTCCTGTAGGGTCTGGAGTCAACCTGGTCCTGATCACTCCAGAGAAGGCCATCAAACTTGTTGGCAATGACTTCCTACGCTATCAACTTACAGATCACAGGTATGATGCACAGACTGTATAATTCAAAGTGCCCTTCCTAATAAAATTAATGGCCCCTTATATGAGTAATTGCATGAATCGGTAGCTAGATGTAAGATTAAGACTGGTACCTGTTATTAAATATTTAACATTGCAACATGACATTAGGTTTCATGTCTTCTTAGTGAAAAAGCATAACTTCGTTTGGGTTAAATTCCATGGTTTTCCTATGCGAATGAATTTGTTTGGAATACATTTTATGGAATCAATGTTTTTAATACAAGAATATTCACAAATATAAAATTAATGATCTGGTCAGTTCAAAACATTTACTGACAGACATCAGACAAAGTTAGAAGTATGTACAGGTAAGTCCAGGTGAGACATGTTAATTCACTCCATAGGGATCGATCACATCCATCTTGCTCGATTGATTACATACAAAGATACTATATAGAGTCTCATAAATGTAGCCTAGCTACCAGCAATCATGACTTTAGTGGACAGAAAATTAAGATGTCTTTACTGAAATGGTTAAAATCATCAGAAGTTCAGGAACCATCTATTCTGAGATTTTTCTTGCCAAATTTGGTGACTTCAACAATTTACAAAGGTCTTATAGCTATATAGATTGCTGTCACCCATGGCCACCTACACATTTCCTGTTGTCTGGAATACATGTACATGTAAAACCCATTCAGAAAGCTGACCTGCAGTGACATTACTAGTATGATGCAATATGCAAATGAGGATGGTTGCAGCAAGGCTCATACTCTGTCTACAAATTAAACTTTTTCTCGACTTGTTACATACAATTTGTATTTGAACCATCCTTCGGAAATCACTGGTCAAGCAAACCCAAGTTAAATGGCTTTTGTATGCTATAGATGAACTAATCATGCGTGACAAAACATTATCCATGGCCTCAGATCTAGACTAGCCAGGTCCTCAGATTACTGATGCCTGTAAACGGTAACATGTGTTGACAACCAGCTGTTTACTGTAAATTATTAACATGTGTTATTACTTAGTATCACAATTAACATAATCCTTTACAATAGTTCCTGCCCTAGACAGAACATTTGACATATTCATGTTAAAATATACATTTGCATACACCATACATTTTCGTATTTATTTCACGTCATTAAAACTGCCTGGTACTCCTTAGTTTATGTGACTTAATAAGACAGATGGCCAGTACATAAAATATTCCGACACTACGGGACCAAAGTTTATATAAGCTTAAAACCTCTGCCCAGTTTTGGGACTAGACTGTGTTCAAACACTTCTTAATGATTTTGCTAAATCTTGCAGGGGTCTGAAAAATTTATCGGAAGGTTTGTTGGGATGATAGAAAAGACCGGAGTTGTGGTAGTGGATTCATTAAACATTGATTTCTGTAGGAGGTTTCGATGAGTGAAAGTCTCTTGGGACTATCATCCAAGTGAATGAACTATTATTGAATTGGTCACGAGCTTCCACATTGATTAAATGGAATGTTTACCTGTAGAGCCATTGTCTCCTGTTGTGTTGTAATCCTGGGGATATTGCTACAAGTGTTTGCAGAGTAATGTACCAGTGCAGTATACAATTATTAACTATACTGCCTGGTGTTTTTAGCTCACCTGGGCCGAAGGGCTATGTGAGCTTTTGCTGTACTATGGCGTCCGTCTATCAACTTCTTCTTTTGAACGACTTCTTCTGAAGAACTGCAGGACCTAGGGTCATGATATTTGGCCAGTAGGTACCTGGGATGGAGTGCTATAAAGTGTCCTCCTTAAAATGAACTTAATCTACTTTCAAGGTCACAGGGGTAAAATATGTTAAAAGCGTCAAACAACAATATCCTAAGAAGAATTTGAACTAGAGTCATATTACTTGGGTATGTTATGTAGACCAGCAGTCAAATCTTTTTCTCAATTACAGTAATAAGGTCAAAGGTCAACTTTAAGTGCAAGTTGGTGGTCAAAGGTCAATATGGGTGGGGGCAGGGTAAAGTTTACTATAGTTTATATAGGTAAATAACACTTTTGGTATATTCATCTAATTTCAGCAAGAAATTATTCAAACTTGGCTGGAATAATTGTGATGGAGATGTGTTTCTGATATTTTAAAAGTCTCTGCACTCAGATGTACAAGATTCAAATTTCTTTTATGGATGGAAATGCCCTTAGGTGCATTATATAATCCCTTTTGTCATCTGCTCTCCTTGCAATTGGTTTATATAGGCAAATAACACTTCTGACTATATCTTGTCTATTTTCAGCAAGAAATAATTCGACCTTGGTTGGAATAGTTATAATGAAATTGAAATAAAAAAGTATCGATAAGTAAGATTATGACCTATTTCTCAGTTGCAAAATAATTCATTTGAATAGTTTTTAAAGTTCTTATCCTTTGGTGACATGACAAATATTGTATTTCACATTGTTTACTTGTTGATTTCCACATTTTGTACATCTCAACAATGAAATTGAGCTACCAGTACCTATAATATATAACTCAGGTGACCGCTAAGGCCGTTGGGCCTCTTGTTAATTAATCTCATAATTAAACTTTATACTCAACATACTATGTGAAATAAAAATATTATTAAGATTAATGGATGAGTTATGCTGGTAACTAAATTTCAGTACTGGCAAGCTGACACTGCCTCGGGAGATATTGTGTGGGGCAGGAGCAGGGTTGTTCCAGATCAGTGTTACTACACCCATGGAACTCATCAAGATACAGCTGCAGGATGCTGGGCGAAGTGGTCAGTATACTTTACAGGCCGGCGCATGTTAAATACAAGCATATGTCATGGTCACCATGCTAATGGTATGGATAGAAATGTAGGATATCAATGCATTTAAATGCATATTTACATTTGCACTGCAACCCACTATATAAACATTACTAGCAGAAATGCATTTCATTTGAGTATGAAAGCGCTCAAATGACTACAGTTAATTATTGGCGCCAATTTTATTTAAATAGGGCTGTTCCGCCAATGTCGTTTAAAGGACGACACATATACAAAACGCAGTAAATCAATTAATTATTTAAGAACAAATGAATAAAAGTAAACAATTGTTCTATAGTAAAAATGTAAATATATGGATTGAACAGTGTTTTTAGCCCACCATCATCTGATGGTGGGCTATTCAAATCACCTTGCATCCGAGGTCCGTGGTCCGTCCGGGGTCCCTGTCCGTCGTCCGTCCGTCCTTAAACAATTCTTGTTATCGTTATTTATCAAGAAGTACCAAAGGGATCTTTCTCAAATTTTATATGTAGGTTCCCCTTGGTCCTTAGCTGTGCAGGGCAACTTTTGAGACTGATCGGATAAACAACATGGCTGACAGGCAGCCATCTTAGATTAGGAAGACCTGAATGGAGTGGTCGTGTCAGGTTTTAACTAGGGTTGAAGAATTAAAAATATAATGTTTTATTCTGTTTTACATATTACAAACATTGTCATGTTATATGTAATTTAAATGAGCTGAAGCATTGTGTTAAATGCTGTGGAAATATTTCTTCCCAAAATTATTTGGGCCACCAATATGTCATTTGGGCCAGTGCTTCAATTTTTTTAGAAAAAAAAATGGTTGGGCCAGCCAATGAAGGTTCCCCAATATGCTTTATTGTTCATGTTTACTTTTGAAACTGATCAGTTAAACAAAATGGCCTATCGACAGCCATCTTTGATTTTTGACATTGAAGGTTTGTTAGTACTATTTCTCGGGAATAATTTGAGGGATCTTTCTCAAATTTGATATGTATATTCCCCTTGATCCCTCGTTGTGCATGTTATATTTTAAGACTGATCATAAAAACAAAATGGCTAAAGGAAGAACTAAACAGATCTTTCTCATATTGCAATGATCGATTCTATTACTTTCACATTAAGTACTGTACTTAGTAAATATTTGAAATGACAAACTCACTTTGAAGGTTGACTTTTATACACATTAGTATTAAGTTTAGATCAAAAGTTACCTCAAGGTGCATTTACTGTTAACATGACTCGATCAAACAGATTAGAGGAAAGAAGAGAAAAGATCAAACTGACAAAGAACTAATGAAGATGGTACAATGGTGGGTGCCAAGATCCCTCTGGGATCTCTTGTTCAAATTTTCATGCCGGTGTGAATGCAAATCAGTTACCTCCATATTAAACATCCATATTAAACATGAAGCCCTAGCGGGCGTATGCAATATGAATGTAACCGATTTGCATTCATACCGAAAATTGCATGAAAATTAAAAAGAAATGCCGTTCAATCCCTATATGAAAAAGTGTCTGTAGTATAGATTCTGTGTGTCTCACTAATTTCCTTACCTTTCTTAAATATCTAGATCTATCTCTATAATCGCCACAATTGAGTGACCATTCACCAAGGACAATGATGTGGATATGTCAGAACCAGGGCCCGTATTCATGAAACCGTTCTCATGCTCATGCAAGCATGGATTCTGTGCTCAAACCTTCTTTTATGTAACGATCGCTTAAATCTTGTCAAATGATCAAAAAGTCAAATGTAAACATTGAAAACATTTCTCAGCTTAAAATCTCTTCAATGTTTTGGCCCAAATCATTGAAAAAAACATTTTTATATTTTATGAATTTATAACGGGAACCAGAAATTCGGCTTGAGCACAAATTCCATACTTGAGCATGAGAACGGTTTTATGAATACGGCCCCAGACTTTTAAAGAAAAATAATTTAATTAAATCAGCTTCGAGGAATTATTGAAACTCCAATGGGCATGTAAATAGATTTTTGTGGGGATTTAAACATAATCTTGTACATTTGTACAAAGTTTTAGCTACCATAACTGTATATATTGCTATCTTAAACAAATACCAAACACACTGTTGCATGAGGATAATTAATGCATAACATTTTGTATTCACTGCGCATCACAGATTTGTGAGAAATTAAAACATACATTTTACATAATGTCCTTTTAAGATAGGTTGTTTAAGCTTGAAATGTATCTTAGGATAAAAATGTGTTCCTGCCATAAGCTAATAAATCAAACCTTGTTTTTCAAAAGTAAGGATCATTAGAATATATTTAAATATATATACCATCAAATGCGTTATCATGTTTGTTTAAATTGTGAAGCAAGTGCATCTAAAATGTACCCAATAAATACCAATATTGGAAACTCTGAAATTACTTCAGATTGTCTGTTACAGCTCATCTCAATGTGGCTACCAATGGAACAGGTACTGCATCCAAGTTAACAGCTATGAAAATCATCTCATCACTGCTGAAGGAAAAAGGCTTGACTGGCCTGTATCAGGGATGTGCAGCCACAATGCTGAGAGACGTCACATTTTCTGCATTATACTTCCCTTTCTTTGCTCACCTAAATGCCATGGTGAGATTTCTTAGTATGCTGTATGCATGGCTTTTTCATGATGCCATGCTTAAGTGTGCTTTTAAGTAATTAAATATATTAAAGAAACTATATTTAATTTAAAAAACATTGGCAAATATATGTCTCTAATGTCTCTTTCATTTAATCTACTTCGCTTACATACATACACAGAGTAAATAATAAACAGAAAAGCATTGATTTTACCAAAGGGCCTTCACAAGAAAAAAAATATCTGATCAATTTTTTAAGTTCTAATACAGGTTTACCCTGATGCTGCAAGTCAACTCCTCAGTATGTGCATATAACCAGCAAACCAGAGTTTGAATTCTGTTAAGTGCTCTGACTATATATATAATGGACATTATCTGTCCTGAGAAAAGCCCTATCTTGGGAGAACACCTGTAGGCTGAAAACTGTCGAAAAAGGCTGTTTATATATAAGAATGGACACTCTAACAGCAGTGATAGCAATCTAGAAAAAGCACCTGTGCTTGGATATATTGTGTATTTCATTATGTACACTACATTCTAGGGTAAACGACGGGAGAACAGCACAGAGGCAGTGTTTTACCATACTTTACTGTCTGGAATAATTGCTGGAGGCACAGCGTCCCTCTTTGTCAACCCATTGGATGGTAAGATAAATTCACCTGTGGAACTACCAACGCTTTGTTTTATTTAAATTATACAAATATATCAAATGAAAATTGTTAATTATATGTCCATATTTCTCCATTAGAAAATAACTTAAAACTTACATGGTATAAATATGAAATTTTAGATATTTTGTTTTTTAATTTTATTAAAGCATGTCACTTGCATGTCTATAGAAATGTTACAAATATCAACATTAAATGGTGATGGTATCAGTCATACAGAATTATCAAACCTGTTACAATAAGCTATTGTAAATCATCTTTATTCTACATGTATATATATATTTGCATTAACTTATGATGAATTTCAGAAAGTAGTCACAAATTCAAATATACAATTATGTATATATACATACTATTGTTCTTTTCGTGAATTTAAATCCTCTCAGATGAGATGTTTGAAGTATAATTGCAAACACTCGAGTTGTTTGTAATACATATATTTCTACTGTAGAAAAGGGCTGATTTGATTTTATCAGTCCTTGTTAGGTAACATCTACTCATCCTGATCCTATGAGAGTAAAGTTTGACATCATGCCATTATTTCAGAGCCCAAAATCAGACACTTTTAATTGTATGGGACTATAAACTATGATGTAAGATACTGAAATTGTACTGAGCTTGTATTAGATAAAACACTCTAACCATTTCAGTTGTCAAAACCAGACTACAGACATTAGAAAAGGGAGCAGGAGAACGAAGTTACACTGGTATTGTAGATTGTTTCAGGTAAGTTACACTGGTATTATAGATTGTTTCAGGTAAGTTACACTGGTATTGTAGATTGTTTCAGGTAAGTTACACTGGTATTGTAGGCTGTTACAGGTAAGTTACACTGGTATTGTAGATTGTTTCAGGTAAGTTACACTGGTATTGTAGGCTGTTACAGGTAAGTTACACTGGTATTGTAGATTGTTTCAGGTCAGTTACACTGGTATTGTAGGCTGTTGCAGTTAAGTTACACTGGTATTGTATATTGTTTCAGGTAAGTTACACTGGTATTGTAGGCTGTTTCAGGTAAGTTACACTGGTATTGTAGGCTGTTGCAGTTAAGTTACACTGGTATTGTATATTGTTTCAGGTAAGTTACACTGGTATTGTAGGCTGTTGCAGTTAAGTTACACTGGTATTGTATATTGTTTCAGGTAAGTTACACTGGTATTGTAGGCTGTTTCAGGTAAGTTACACTGGTATTGTAGGCTGTTGCAGTTAAGTTACACTGGTATTGTATATTGTTTCAGGTAAGTTACACTGGTATTGTAGGCTGTTACAGGTAAGTTACACTGGTATTGTAGATTGTTACAGGTAAGTTACACTGGTATTGTAGATTGTTTCATTTAAGTTACACTGGTATTGTAGGCTGTTACAGGTAAGTTACACTGGTATTGTAGACTGTTACAGGTAAGTTACAGTGGTATTGTAGATTGTTTCAGGTAAGTTACACTGGTATTGTAGGCTGGTACAGGTAAGTTACACAGGTGTATTGTAGATTGTTGCAGGTAAGTTACACAGGTGTATTGTAGATTGTTTCGGGAAGTTACACTGGTATTATAGATTGTTCAGGTAAGTTACACTGGCATTGTAGGCTGTTACATGTAAGTTACACTGGTATTATAGATTGTTCAGGTAAGTTACAATGGTATTGTAGATTGTTCAGGTAAATTACACTGGTATTGTAGACTGTTACGGGTAAGTTACAGTGGTATTGTAGATTGCTACAGGTAAGTTACATTGGTATTGTAGATTGTTCAGGTAAGTTACACTGGTATTGTAGATTGTTACAGGTAAGTTACACTGATTATGTATATTATTTCAGGTATTAAAGTATATATCTGATTTTGCCCTTTTGCCAATATGGTGCAAATAATTGTGCAAAATGTCTTTTTCCTACCATGTTTATGCTGTAATATTTGTATTAGCACAAATACGTTACAAAAATTGATCTTAATAATAATTGATTTTATCAAAATGGACTTATATTTCTAAAATATTGATGTTTGAGGTGCATAATGTCTTTCTATGCAGTTGTATATGTAAAACAAGGGAAATAGCTGATTATTTTTTTTGCAGGAAAGTGTACAAATATGAGGGCATTAAAGCATTCTACAAAGGTGGACTGTGTAGGATCCTTGTCATAGCACCGCTGTTTGGTATAGCACAAACTGTGTACTACATTGGTGTTGGAGAACTCCTGATCTCACTAGTCACAGGCACCTCAGATTAGGTCACACCAGAACAGTCGGCCACACTCCACAAACAATCAGGGGAGAATTTTATTGTGCCTGGTGCTGGGCTACATGTTTATGTACTCTAGTCTTATCACAAAGAAATAATCTTTCATGTGTTTGCAAATGGTAATGATCAGATTCAGTTTGTTTAATTTTTACTACAGTGCTATTTTTAGTGCCATTTTATCTGAATACATTTACAAGAGATTTAGAAAGGGTTTTATTTTTTGAAGTAGTGCTATTTAATAGGTATTTTGTTATTAAATCGATTTTAATGTTTCCTTAATATCAAACATACAGAAAAACTTCGTGACAAAATATATCCATAATAGGTAACATTACGATCAACGATTTTAGTTCCATATGCAACATAGGGAAGATGATTTTCGTATACCTGGTACATATATACATATGAATTGTAGATACTTGTGGTAAATTTCATTTTAGAGAAATGGTAATGGGATTATCCAATTGTGCTATTCCTGTATGAAGTATTATTTTCCCTAATTTACATCCATCACCATGATTGATTTGTTTATATGACCCATGTTTGAAAGACGCATTTAGTCATAGAGTTATTGTGTGTTCCAAATGTGAGTGACAATGTTACTTTGAGTCAAACATTATCCACATATCAAAAATCAAAATATCCCTGAGAAAACATCCCCAAGACAGAGTTGACCTCTGCTACACCAACTAATTCAGGCAGCATTTCTGACGAGTAACCCGGTATGTAATTGCATGGATTTGTTTTTGATTCATCAATGAACTTTATTTTAGCTAATATTTACCAACGACATTATTATTGTTTGCTTATTTTTGCATTTAAGAATATCGTTGTATGAATATTGGTTATTTACTCAAGAGAAATGCTTAATTTAAATGACTAGTCTTGAGGTGCAACGAAAAACTGTTGAAAGATCTGCCATGAAAGTGCTGAATTTACATCATCCCTGTCTATAATTAAATCAGTTTGCAATTATAAGCTTTTTGCTTATGTTAAGATAGTTTTGCAACAATGAACAATTTTGTCATTCCAAGCAAATTTTCTGCTCAATACATGGCTAACTGGAAGTCTGAGGTCCAGTTAACCAAGAAATGCACTTCGATTGGTATAATACACATGTGCAATAAGTTATCTTTTATTGCATGTTAATTAGAAGCCATATATTTCATGTACCTTTCACAAATAAGAAATTTGTGGACTAAAATTTGAGTAAGAAAGCAAACTCTTAATAAAATATCTGTTATTATAAGAGTTATATCTAAAATAAATAGCTTTTTTGTTGACATCAACCAGTATACATGTACTTTAGCATTCATATAGATGATGAAAGGATCTATAAAAGAATTTGGAGCTTGAACTGGCTATTGAAGTGCATGTGTGATAATTATTTCGTAGGTGAATTAAATTTTGTTACATCAGGAATATGGTCATAATCAATATACTAACTTTGTAACACTAACTCTATGATATAATCAGAATATACAATGCTGATAAATGGTGCTTGCCTTTTGACAATATACATTAAGATTGCCAAGTAAAATTAATACCATCTTTGAGTAATCCTGCTATGAAGTGGTGAAAGAGTATATATAATAATCAAATATTTGCCAAATTGCTGTGATCTGTGCTGTCATTATTGTGATAGAAATTTTAATTCCTTTTTCAAGGCCTGCCAAAATGTCAAATCACCTTAAAAATGTCAAATTGTACATGTATTAATTTAATGAATTATTTTGTAAATATTATTTAATATTGTGTTCATTTTGTTAAACCAAAGCTAAATATCAGGGATATTTGTTTTACAATTCATCAAAAAAATTCTTTTAAAATTCTGTTGTATTATTTTTTGTCTAAATTCGTGTAAATGTAAAAAGAAAATGTAAAATTGACATGTTATCGTCTTTAAAACAAATTCTACATGTACTCTTCTTACTTAAAAAAATATCATCTTGAATCTATTCTATCATTCAAAGTTGATATTCATCTCACACTTAAATGTAGTAAAGAGTATTATTTTGACATTTGATAAAAAAATAAATTGCAAAGTTTGATTTACCTTGGTCTTAAATTAAAACTAAAACCTAACAAGGAAATGAATATTGATGAAGCTGCATCTATATCCTGGTAACAGCTGAAGAATTTAAGAAGTTTTTCATTTCAATTTGAGCTGTATGTTCAGCTGTACACTACCATATACAAACCGTTCCTGGAGGTTGTTGGCCAGTGTAGTACTTACCAGTACTATCTACTCATGGTGTACTCGCCTAGAGTTGTACTTGTGTGCTGGGAATTGGTATCGTTCCTACTTCATTGTTTAATCTTGTTAAAATGTTAGAATATTCCATTGTTGTTGATTTTATTGTTACCTATCTGGAAATAAGATATTTTGGTTCAATTGGTGTGGTCATGAGAAGGACATATTATACGTCTTGTCTCCTGAAAGACAACAGAGCACAGGTAAACATATTTGGTGCAAAAAAACCTGAAATGCTTTTAAACACTTATCTCAGATCTATTGGCCCTTTAAAGACACCTTCAATTAATATTTAACAATATTCATAAGGAAAACATTTTTGTTCTTAATTTCTCCTACTGGTCAGTGTATTCAGTCACATTTTTAGCCTTCAATTTGTTTTGAACTATTTTTTCATCATTTGTTTGTAAAAATATATCTGGGTGGCTAAATGTTAACAAATATAAATGTACACATAATCAATCTTGTTTGTATAATCATAGATTCCAAAAATCTATGGTAGGCACCACTATAAATATATAACTATTAAAGATCATGATATTGATTGGAGGTCCCTACCTTCAAACCTTAAATACATCTTGTTTGCATTTATCATTTATCTATTTAACAAGTTTTTTGCTGCAGAGTTTAAATATTGGTCTTTTGCCTTTTGATAAGAAAATATATATGTTATAATTATAACCCTGTATAATGTAAGGCTTATGCGGTTAATGTATTATTACATACTTAAACAAAATCAAAAATATATACAGACAATTTTGATGGATGAATGTTACCCAGTGATATACCAAAAGAATTGTATATCGTATCAAGATGACATACAAGTAAATGAACATGGATTGGAACTAAAATTTTACATCTTGATTTGTGTTATCAATACTAGTCAAAATAGTAAGTGACATACCACAGTAAGCTGTATTATAATGGTCTGTAACAACATCATTCTCAGTGTACGACATTATTAAACATTGATAAGAGTTTATTATTTCATAGTGCAATCAATGTCATATATTTTGAAATGATTTGAAAATTATTATCCTTTTTACAGATACATTTTGGTGCAAGACATTTTTTGTGTCATACAGGGCAGATCCAGAAATTTCAAAAGAAGTTGATCCCCATTTCTTGTGGGTATCTTTATGTTACTTTGTTTGATTTATTGTTGGTGGATATATGTAGTAGATGTGTCGGCCTATGAGCTACAAATGTATTATGTAGAAAATGGTGGCAGTCCAGGTCACCCAGGAACCACCCCCACCCTCTTGTCATAGATCTGTCTCAATATACACATACATATAATTGATTCTATGTGTGATTAATTAAGATTTTTAAAGGAACTTTAACATAAAAGGCAGTATTTTTGAATTCTGAATCATGTAAAGTAATCTTTGAGCAGAATGTAATAACTATATATATTGTAGATGTAACAGTAAAACATACCTAGTACAAACGAACTTATTGTAAAGCCCTGTTTATAACAAAGACACATTAGTATTTCGGATGTGAACTTCTCTCATGAATATCAACCTCTATAACGAATGATACCTAGAGGGAACCTATATGCATTCTAACATCCCACAGGGCTAGTAATAAACATGTTTCTGTTAAGTGAAAACACTTATTATGCATGTGTTTTTCAATGAAACATCGATATCTGAACCTGTTGTTGGACAAATAACAGTCTCCCATTTTGCCTGTTTACTAATATCTAATTGCTGTACATGTAATTGTAGATGAAATTGATTAAGTGCTGATATGACCCAATTTTTCCAAATTACATGATCATCTCATTAGTCTACTCCAATCTAGATAACAACTTACATGATAATACCGTAATCCACCAAATACAATAAGATCATTGTAAATGTCGCGGATAATAAGGATTTCAATAACCAAACGAACTGAAACATTTTACAGTGATTTCTTTTCCAAAGGATAACTAAATTTTGATGACAAAATGATTGATATTTGCCTTTTATAGGTTTATATAGTTGCTGCAACATGCTTTCTCAAAATAAAAGAAATATGTAGGAATTAAAAAATAACTCGATCATAGATATATTTTGGAAACCAGTAATTATTGGTGTTATTCAAAAATACCCCTGTAAAATGGAGTTGTATTCAGTTGGTAAGTAATTATATTCATTGTTATTGTCTTCATATCTTAGCTCTAAATTTGCCATAACCAACCTATTATGAAACAATAGTATGTTTTGTTACTTTGAAAATATTCTTATTGAAATCATATTTCAAATTCTCACAATATGTGTTCTTCGAAGAGTTAAATATAAGTAAGTTATTGCTTATTGAAATTGTGTCTGATAAGGGCTGTTCCATAACTAACCGTAGGGATGGGTAATATTTAGATACCCGGCCACCACCCATAAAATCCTAAAAGTGATTCAGTATATGGAATGGTAGGCGGATCTGGTTTTAACTCATCCACACATAATATATTAATAAAGGTGCCTCCTACCTTCCCCATACAAAACATTATGGAACGGTCCTAATGTCAATAAAGCACCTTATGTTGTCAACTGTTATGTTTATTGTAGTCATGTGATAGTGACCAGTGCGTTTGAATAAGTAACCATTCCGTTATTTAAGATACATGTGAATCGACTCTTGTATTGATTCTTGTGTCAACTATTGTTTTAACATACTAAAAACGGTTCAGTTTAGATACTAGAGTATTTGGTTTACTAGTAAGGTAGCTGTAGCAGTAAGATTGTACAGCATGTATATTATTTTCTTCACTTTTCTATAGCAATGACGTAAAACAAAACATATAAAATAATTTGATTGAATTGGCTGTTTTTGTTAACCCAGTTTTTTAGAATTTGCTTGCAAGAATAATTTATTTGGAAATAATTCTATATAATATGGAATTACAGTTTATTCTTATGTTTAATAATTATTTTGCCTTTATTTCAATGTTTCCTGTAAACTGCTGTATTTACCTTGACATGGATGTCTGTTGAGGTACTGTAGTAGAGTTGCTTTATTATACTGTTGATTTTCCCCTTCATACACACATAAATTAAAAATGTGATTTTATGGGGAAAAAGTAATTCCACATCCTGTCTTTTTTTTGCAGACCAGTTATTTTCATAGAACATTCTTTTGAAATAACATTGATTTTGATATGTTCCACAAAAGCATGGCATTATTTTGTTGTGATCGGGAAGCATAAGATAATTCACCAGTGATATTTTTCTGTCTCAAGTGACTCTACGTGTATAGGTATGCAGTTGAATTATTCGTTTTACTGTATTCAGGATATAATTTTGTTTCTTCTGTTAATACGTTAAAATACCTGTCATATGTACGTGGACATTTTTGTTAAATGTATTATGGAGATAATTAAATACTAGCATTTTGTTTATTGTCCGAGAATGTATCCCCAGTGTACATTGTGACCATAAGTACTACTGATGCAATTTGATTTATTATTTTCATTGTTTGAAATCATCACTTCTCTTATTTCGTTATTAAATAAATATCTACTTGATCTGTTCTACTAATGTATAATGTGGTGGTATCATATGTTGGTGTAACAGCTGCACGCATTCTTTATAATTCAGTTTTCGTTATCTTAGGTTTAAGTGCAAACACATTTGATGTTCATTATATTTTAAAATCAATATAATTTTTGTCATGACTAATAATGAGAAAATGCTTAAGGTATTGGACGACTATTCTTTTACGACAGTAAACATTTTAAGAAAAATAGTTCCAATTTAACAGGAAAGCATATACAACGAAATAACATTTGATAGTGCTAATATTGGAACAGAAAAAAGTATGGTTTGTCAACTTGATACTCGTGCTCTTAATATGAAGAGAATAAAAACAAAACTGAAAAATCAATAGACATAAATGACTTTGTGCTACAACTTATGTACTATGTGATAGTGATCCATTTATGTTTGCTTCTGCAAAAAGCTCACTTTTATCCAGATACATTATTATTTTAGTGCTATCAAGGCATTCATATATACATGTATCATGTGAACTGTTTGCATTTTTACCTCAGCAATATTTTGTTAAATGAAAAAAGACTCAAAGCATTGCTGATGAATGAAGGATGTCCATCTTTGATCTGTTTAAAATACCTGATCCTTAATTGCTAATGATGCTTTCAGCATGCACAGAGACCCATGCACATGTAGATACTATAAATGTGCAAAATATTATTAAAATACAAGAGATTGGAGTCAATTTTAATGAATATCGTGTTCTTTATAATCCCTCTGTTTCTGAGTTTATGTAATATTATTTTATTTAGTTCGATATTTGACATATTTAATTGTATCGGTATCGATGTGAGTGTTTTGTGTGTAGTTTCCCAATCACATATAAAGAATCTAGTCCTTATGCACTGATGAAATATGCATGTTTGATTGATGTCTAATAAACGGGAATATGGATATGTCTGGTTACATTTGTTTTGTGTTTAATTATTCATGTATCGTAGTTTAATCAACTATTTATTAGTAAACGTATATGATCCCGGCCCACTGCCATCTAAATCAATTTAAATCAACAATCATTTCGCTTACACGCTGCCTGCTTCGTTTTACCTGTCAACGACATGTAGCCGAAACTATTTTGTTTCCCATGTCGATGGTATTGTTTCCGGTGTGGATCTAGGGAGGCTGCCGATAACCGGGACAGAATATAGAATCATGATTACTACTATAGGCTCTTTGGACGCGATATTAAAAGGACAGGTGTTGGTCAAAATACCTTTAATTATAGACTGGTTGTCATTTATGCTAATTTAAAATGTGTGTGTTTAAAGTGAAAACGTCATTTTTTACTAGTACTGCCTCCGGACTACATATAACAATATATACACCTAGTACAGTACATGTACACTGCCAGAGGAGACAAAGGAAATTGCAAGTAGCAGAGTTACAAACTACCAATTGCTTCACAATTGTGACATCAGTAAGTTGTACGAGGACATGTTTTGGGGGATGCAATGTAGGGAAAAGGTTACATTAAAGTGGATATTAGCTATCAAGTAAAACAATACACACACAAAACATAACAAATAATTGTAATCAATTGGGAAAACATTACAACCATCGTGAATACCTACACAATTCTGAAGCAAAACCAAATGTTTGGAAGGGAATGCGTTTTTTGCACAAGGCGTGGCATCCGTCATAATATCTTTCGTCAAATCCAGGAAAGAAAATTCGTTCTTAGTCCGAGCAGACACTGAACTGTCATAGCTGGAATAACCATAGCTTTCATTCTTCCTTCATAGATGAAATTCCCCTAGACAGAAAGACTAAGTATGTGTAGATTCTTGCTAAACAATAAACACATCTACCAGAATACCCTGATACAATGATGTACTAAGGCATGGAGTATAATCGTGAATACTTACATTTATTACATGTACTGAAGTACTGTGTTCGCACATCTACTGATGTTTTCTCTCGCTCACTCCACTCCATTAACTGCATACGTTTGGAAATTTAGTGGAGGCACATGGTAGCTATAGCTTAATATGAAACTGAAAAAATGGAGTCTGGTTTCAATGATGTCAAAGGGAAAAAAAGCCATGGATTTGATATGCTAGCGTCTAGATTCACTTATAACATGCAATTTATTTTATTTTGCCGAATTCAAAATCCTTGCACAGGATTATTGTCATGTATGAAAAAGCAGCAATTAGTAATAAAAACATCCCCATTTTACAAAATTGTTTATTTCATATATAATGTTAAGGATACTTTGAAAAGTCTCTATATTATTTTACTTCAAAATCATCTCTAACTTAAAACGTTATATTTTCAGATACGTATACTGTCTTCGTCCGCTTTGAACATTTTGACTTTCGATAGATCTATCTTATATAAAACACTATAATATTGGTCACCTCAATGACACTTTGAGTGTTTGTGTTTTCCTTTACCTTTTATTTATTTATTTTAGATTCATTGTTTTGTTTTCTAATTCTTCAGCTTCATATTATATGACACTTACCTATAGTATGGCAATACTGATAAACTTACGTTGTGCACCGATATATCACAAATGTGACATGCTTTAACCATAAACTGCCTAACCAAGTTTTCTACCAGAGAGGTTTCAATCAACACTTACAAATTTCACAGCCGTCGTGATCTGATGTCCTAAGATGTATTCTCTTTGTCTCACGTCTTTCACGACCAGGATATTTTTGTATTTGACTGGAGACGGATGCCACACATTGTGTAGGAGACACCATCCTCGACACTCCAAGGGCTACGCTCACTTTAGCTCTCTTCACCCCTGGAATGTGTCATAGCAAAATCAAAGGCTCAGTGTTCACCACCTTGTGCACAGGGGCATGGATCGCTTTACTTGTAATATAAAAAAAAAATAGGGGTCTCCTATACTAATATCTATTTTTTATATTACAAGTAAAGCGATCCATGCCCCTGTGACCTTGTGGACGAGAAAAGAAGACTATCAATAGAATCTCGCGGTCACGTAATGTTTAAAATTGACAGGCTTTGAAGTCGGGTGTGTCGCTCCTTTGTAATCTCCAAAGTGTAGGTATCAACCTGGCGATTGGTCAGGTGTTTTTATCTGAGACCAATCAAACAAATATTTTCGTGACACATATATACGTCTGTGAAACCCAAACAAGAATTGTAACATTGTCGGAAAATATTTCGTTCTCCCCATGTCCCAATATTTGGAGAGCCTGTCTATGGCGGAACTCTCACTATCAACGTCAACCATACATAGAACCTCACGAGGAAACGTTCCAGTTATAAAACAAAGTTTATATTTGTTTAGGAAGACGGCTCACATAGCGTTACCATTTTCTCATCTTTATGCATAGCGTATACATTTATTATTCATACCTATTATTTTTTCGCATGTGGATTATTGGAATATAAGTTTTTAAATACAGTAAAAATATAGTTGAGTTCTGTGACAAATAACGCCTTCTGTTATTTTTTCATTAAACAAACTCTATCTAGACTATATGTTTTATTACACACATACTAAGATGGCTTTAATGCGGAGGAGGTTAAGTATACGCATGCGATACTTACAATGTAGCCTCGTTGAATCCAAGTTGATAGGGATTTATGCTGTAAATGCGTCTATTTCTTGCGCTCCGACTGTGTTGTTGTCCAGGTGGTTCTAGTCTACTGCTTTTTGCATAAAGAATGAGTTTCCGTAAAGCTCTGGTGGCTTATATATGACATTTCGATTTGTCGCCCGCGAAAAGAAGCCGAGCGACAAAACGAAATAAAAAAATAAATAAAAAAAAGTCAAATAAGAAATAACGCCAAGCTAAAAAAACGAAAAGACGGAAACCCGACAAAGCGAAATAACGAAAAACGCCAAACCGCTGTGAAAATAACGTCAAAGCGTAGAAGGTCCTCCATGATTTTGTAAAAGAATTTTAATATCTGCATGTTGTTTTCGTCTGGCTGCTAGTGATCGAAGTTGCAGTTCTTTGAGAACTCTCTTTGTTCTCTCCCTCTCTCTCAAGTATGTGTTTGTTTATGTATTATTAGAAATTGCATTATATTTATATGTTGTAAACCATTATGGAAAGGGCGTTTATAAGTTGCAATAACTTGTGTACAATCCTTTTGTAATTATATTGCAATAAAATATGTTTAAACTAACTTTGAGAAGTTTTGTCATAAATCCCTTTCCCCTTATTCTATAGTCCTTCTGGGTGAAACGCGCCTCTCTCGTTTAATAATTTCCTATCTTTGATGTCCAAAGAGTGGTAGCAGAGTTCAATCTGAAATTAAAAACCTCCCATGGACCTTTTTCTCCAAGAAATAACCATTGTTCCATTGAATTATTTGTTTATGCTTCTAACTGCATACAATTTTTTTTTCGATTTTTGTTTTAAAATCGACTATTCTTTTTTTACTTATCGATAGTCCAATAATCTGATCTAAAATAAAAAGAAAAATCCACCTCGTTTCCCGTAGCTATGCCTCAATATGGCGAAATATGAGACGGTAACTATCAAACGACAAGTGAGCGATACAGGCCCTATGAGTCTGTTGCATGGAAGAACTCTTTATGTTTGGAGGTAATTTTGTGAAAGTACTTCCGGCAAAATGAACACACAGTATGGGAAATCGCATTTCGGAAAAAATAAGAAAAAGAAGGAAGATTTCAGTGGCCATGCGGGAAAAGTGAAAAAGAAACAGTTATACAACTCAAAAGAAAAGAAATGGAAGACAATCGATAGAGAAATATCGTCTCTTCAGGAAAGATACAGCCAGGTAAACATGGTGTTGATTCCAGAACGTCGCCACCACGTGCTTTTATTTACATGTCAAATACTAACTAAAGAAGTAGTTATCACGTCGTATTTCAACAAATCTAGACACGGTTCTCTTCATATTAATTTATCCCTAAGACATCAGGGGAAAATTATGATAATTGGTGTGAAATGTTCAGATGCTAAGTTGAAGTTCTACTCGGAGATACATGTATATTGTGTTACATACGTCTCTGTTCTACTGTAAGATATGATGGTTATAACGATAACAAATAAATGGTCCCGTCGAATAAAACTGAATAACGTTCATATCTTTCAAAAAATCGCAGTTGCAATGAATATATCAACATATGTAGTTCCTTATTGCATTTATTGTTGACGTTGGTGATTATCTTATTGAAATCATCTCCTTAGATTTCCAACATTATGTTATAATTACAAGTCACTAGGATTGGTTATCACAATCTTTTCTATTGAGATATTAGCTTGATAAGTATATATATATATATATATCATTATATTATTATGATATCTTGATATTATATATCTTATATTTCATTGTATTTCATAATATATAGATTGACTCCTCATCTGTAGAGAAATTCACAGACATTCCACTGTCCAAAAGGACTTTACAGGGTAAGTGATCAGTAAATGAAGAGAAGGCAAATTTAAATCCAGGTATTGTCAGTGCTAAATGCCAGCTATTTTTAATAGTTTGAAGCAATGCAATTTATAGACAATTGTTCTAACACGTTTAAAGATATAGTATATATGCTATATATGTAATCATAAATAATATGTATGTAACAGGAGAGTGACACCTGGTCAGCTCTCGCTGTTGTCCTGGTTCTAGGGTTATATATTACGGGTAACGTATGCAGAAAAGACAAAATATTCTGTACTACATACTATTCACACAGGAATAAAATACATTTAATAGATCAATTACACACTGAAGGGAACTTACATTTGATTTTTGATTACAGTTGAATCAATTTGTTAAGATTAATGTCATCATATCTTATAGATATGGCAATTAGATGATCTGAAAGATATTAGCATTTCGATATATATTGCAAACTTTAAAATCGTAGGAAATTTAAGCTTGTTTAAATTGGCAAAAATGTTCCAAAAAAAGAATTTAAGGAATAAATAAATAGATGCAAATATTTTTCATATATTATTTACAAGACATTAGAAACTCTAGATATTTATACAGTTCATATATAAAAGCAATGAACAGTCTAAGAGAAAACATTCTAGAATATGTACATTGTATCTCTTAATCAATATTAAAAACTATATAACTTGCAGGTACATATATATCCATATCCATTATTTTAACCAAGACATGAAACTGTACTCTGAATTAGTAATTACATATGTTTTGATAACGTTGTAGTTTTTATTAACCATATTTAATTTCCTTATTGTAATTAAAATATCCATATCCATTATTTTAACCAAGACATGAAACTGTACTCTGAATTTGTAATTACATATGTTTTGATAACGTTGTAGTTTTTATTAACCATATTTAATTTCCTTATTGTAATTTGTTAGTATTCATAGGTAACATTTTGTAATTGTCTACGCTTAACAGGTCTTGAATTAGGAAAATATGAAACTCCAACTGAAATTCAGAAGGAAGCAATTGGTTTAGCGTTACAAGGAAATGACATTCTTGGTGCTGCAAAAACAGGATCAGGGAAAACTCTAGCTTTTCTTATACCGGTAAGTTCATTTTCTTATTCAATTTTCATAACTGTTCATTGGATGCACAATTGGAAAAAAATAATTGCTGTCAAATAAATTTCCAAAGTAAACAACATTGAAAAATGTCATCTCTTATAAGCTGATGCCATATTCATTTATTTCATGATAATATGTATGCTGTTACATGTTTATGTCATGTACTTGTAGCAAAACTTTACTTAACAACAAGCACTTCAAGTGAGTGAACTTATATAACCATACATGACATTTATGCTAATTTTATGTCCACAGGTTTTGGAATGTTTAAACAGACAAAAATGGAGTCCTCAGGATGGCCTGGGAGCATTGATAATCTCTCCTACCAGGGAACTTGCCTACCAAACCTTTGTGGTGATACGGAAAATTGGAAAATTTCATGACTTCTCTGCAGGTCTGGTGATCGGGGGCAAGGTTAGAAAACATAGCTGTTTTAAATGATATATAGTAACATTTAATATTGTTCATGATTGCTGGTAATTGACGCTTTGACAACACATATATACTACAACCTTTGATATTGTTTTTCATTGCTAGTAGAGAGAGTTGATTCGTTAAAACATTCTGTGTTGTTTTTTAGCTGCTGCAGGATGAGATTGGGCGTATGAATAGGACAAACATTGTGATCTGCACCCCAGGCAGATTGCTCCAACATATGGATGAGACTGCTAACTTCACAGCTGATTCCCTACAGATGCTTGGTAACTTAATCTTCACATCTAAAAATAATCTGGATATGCTCATACAATCTCTGATTTATGTATTAATTTAACAGTATAAACACTGTATTGATATTAAAGATTCAAATACTTGTTCAGCATTTGTGATGGTATTAAACTCAGTTGTTTACAAATATCCCTAAAAGGAGGAAATTAGTATGTCTGTCTATTTTGTGATGTATGGAAGAGCCAGGTTTTTGGACAAGATGATATGTTATATTATAAAAAATATATGATTATCATTTCTTTGACCTTTAGGTGACAAATATCAGTCAGAAATAATTCATAAATGTTAGTCCCTGATTTCTCTATTAGTACGACATAAACACTACAACAGTTTCTGACTGGAAAACATCCACATGCTAAACCTGTAGGTGCTATGGTTTGATAACAAAATTTTGCATTGGTAGATTAATTCAAAAGCTGTAGAACAGAAATGTACACATGATTAATAAGATAATGATATTCAATTCATGTATGAAAAAGTACTTGATAAGTTCAAGATAAAATGAAGCATGAAGTTTGATAGTTTGATGAATCAATGAAACCAATATAGCATGTCATTCTGTATCTATAAATATGAATAAGTTTTATATATACATATAGAGTCTGATTTTCAGATTATACCATAAAAGGGTCAGAATCTTATATTTTTTTAAAATGTCAAAATGATACAACAGTAAATTTATTTATTTTATAAGTAAATAATTTCCTATTGAAAATAGATAAAAGATTTACTAGTTATTTTTCCATTTCAAAATTAGCAGCTTTAATGTTCACATTTATTTCTGAAAGCCTGCCTTCAAAAAATGGATTTACGAAAAACACATTTTCCAACCAGGGATAACCGAGAACAATGATGTCACAACAACAACTACATTGTCGGACTTTACAAAGCATTAGGATGTGACATTTTATACAATCAGAGTTCCTTTTAAAGGTTGTGACAAGTATTTTAACAAATAGAAATCCTTCCACAGTCTTGCCGAAATGTGGATAACACGATATGTTTAACAAGCATTTTTGGATATGCATGTACAATGTTGAGGAGTGAGGAAATCTAGTGGATATTGGAGAAATGTTGTCATAATTCATACTTTTTTGAAAATTTGAATTTCATGAATTATGGTTCATTTGATTCCATGCAGTTTTGGATGAGGCAGACAGAATACTTGATTTGGGGTTTGCCCAGGCGATGAATGCTATTATAGAAAATCTGCCAATATCACGACAAACTCTCCTGTTCTCGGCCACACAGACAAGGTAGGTGTTCGTACAAGTAAACTGGGACTATACATGTATTGTGTACATATCGCAGTGTATTTTGAAAGATTGCCATTGAACCTTTACATCTGTTTTAACTCTTTATGAACAACACAGTAGGTTGTGGTTCCACACCTCATCATTTAAGTAACTCTTCAGAGCTATTTTATAATAGATCACTTTATGTATCATTACAAATATTTTCATATTTTTGTTAATTGCCCTCTGGTTTGTATATCTTTGTGTTTCTTTCCTGGATTAGTTCAGTACTTCCTTACTAGAAAGGCCAATCTAAGATCCTGATGGTGCAGTGATACCTATACTGCTCTTTGAATTTTTTCTTCTCCCCAACTTAACTATTAGGACAGCAGTAATATTTTTACCATAAAAGCTTGAAAGTGTTACAATGTGAATTACTTTCACTAATTTAATGCATTTTTATTGACACAACTAGGTTACTTTAACTATTTATAGGAGTTTGTCAAATAAATATTTACCTGGGAGTTTGTGCATTCATGCCACACATTTTCTGGTTTTGGTGGAGTCAGATGCCTTAATATTATTGTACTTATTTTGCTCCACAAAAAGGTCACCTTTGGATCATTTGAAGGATTTATAATCCATAATTTCTCCTTCTATCTTTCTCAGAATGGATTTTACTATCCTACATCAAATGTTTTTTTAGTTTGATACCTAGATCCATATCACCATGTTTGTATATTGTAGGTCAGTGAAAGACCTGGCAAGACTAAGTTTACAGAGCCCCATGTATGTGTCTGTCCATGAGAATGCTGAACACAGCACACCCACACAGCTAGAACAGGTAAACAATGGCTAAGGTTCTGCACCCCTTAAATATTAATGGTCCCCTATTAACTCATAAAAGGTATATACATGTACAATTAAATACACATGCATAAATTAATTAGAGTCTTGGAGGGTCTTTATGAAAGTTCAGACTTGTTTCCCTCCCATTTTGATGAAGATGTGTGTTTGATTATAAAATGAAAATACTGCTTTAACGATATAAACGTGTAGTAAATTTGAGTGATAATTATGTACCTACAACTTCACCTACCATTCCACCTGCAGGTGTTTCATTTACCAAAGATGTTTATCCTGTACTGTTTTACCATTCTGTTAACATTCTACCTGGAGCTTTACTTGACCATTCTACCTGGTACTTTACTTTACCATACTACTGATACTTTACTTTACTTTACCATTCTACCTGGTACTTTACTTAACCATTCTACTTAGTACTTTACTTTACCATTCTACCTGGTACTTTACTTTACAATTATACCTCATACTTTACTTTACCATTATACCCGGTACTTTACTTTACTATTCTATCTGGTACTTTACTTTACCATTATACCTTGTACTTTACTTTACCATTCTCTTACTATTCTACTTTGAATTTCACTATACCAAGACCTTTAGCTGGTATTTCACTGTCTACCTGGTACTTTACTTTACCATTATACCTGGTACTTTACTTTATCATTATACCTGGTACTTTACTTTACCATTATACCTCATGCTTTACTTTACCATTATACCTCATACTTTACTTTGCTATTCTATCTGGTACTTTACTTTACCATTATACCTTGTACTTTACTTTACCATTCTCTTACTATTCTACTTTGAATTTCACTTTACCAAGACCTTTAGCTGGAATTTCACTGTCTACCTGGTACTTTACTTTACCATTCTACTTAGTACTTTACTTTACCATTCTACTTGGTACTTTACTTTACCATTCTATCTGGTACTTTACGATTATACCTCATACTTTACTTTACCATTCTCTTACTATTCTACTTTGAATTTCACTATACCAAGACCTTTAGCTGGTATTTCACTGTCTACCTGGTACTTTACTTTACCATTCTACTTAGTACTTTACTTTACCATTCTACCTGGTACTTTACTTTACCATTCTACTTGGTACTTTACTTTACCATTATACCTCATACTTTACTTTACCATTCTACTTAGTACTTTACTTAACCATTCTATCTGGTACTTTACTTTACCGTTATACCTCATACTTTACTTTACCATTATACCTGGTACTTTACTTTACTATTCTATCTGGTACTTTACTTTACCATTATACCTTGTACTTTACTTTACCATTCTCTTACTATTCTACTTTGAATTTCACTTTACCAAGACCTTTAGCTGGTATTTCACTATCTACCTGGTACTTAACCTCACTTTACCAAATCTGTTTAATGCATCACTTTATCAAACCAACCTGGTATTTCAATTTACCATTCAACTGGGTACTTCACCAAAGGTACTTCATTTAAATAGGTAAACATATATGGTACTTTATTGTAAAAATGAGCATGAAAAAAACCTCGGGTATTATGAAGTGTAGCCATATTTGTAAACATAACATTTTATTTTTTATTATGAATATCAGTGTGTTAGTTGCACTTAGAGATTAATCGTCTTTCTTTATGTATTTCAGAGTTATATTGTGTGCGAGTTGCATGACAAAATCAACCTTTTATGGTCATTTATCAAGAACCATTTGAAATCTAAAACCCTAATCTTCTTATCAAGCTGTAAGCAGGTAAGTGGCTTCAGTCTAAATGTTTATATGTTTTAGGATTATATTTTATTTCTACTGATTGCATTTATAAACTGTAGATTTAAAGTGTTGTGTTCAACAAATTATTTACATATAATACATACTCATAATGTTGAACATGCAATTTGCAAAGTAATACCGTAATTTGAATATGAGTATTATTTTGCTGTAAAGAGAAGTAGGTTATAGGATTTTTTTCTGTATATTTTGAAGGAATAGGTATTCAGGAGATACCTGTATGATAGTAATTGAATCCTCCCCCCCTCCCCCAATTATCCAAATATGGTCACCAAGAGATATTGTTGAAATTGAAAAACAACATTGCTGTAAGACATGGTTACCTAGTACTGTATCTGTAATATTTTCAACCCAACCTCCTCCAAAAAACTTTTTCCAGTTGGCCTCTTTTTATTGCAATTATTTTATATTTAGCAATACATATTTTCTGTTGAATTCCCCCCTCCCCTCTCATGCATTCCAAGGTGGAAACAACAAAATTTAAACAACTTTCAATTTTAATTGGCAATAATGCTCTATTGAGAATACTACTATATGAACAGTGTAAATAATAGTTAAGTTTCATTCCGACAATTTAAACGTTTAAATATTAAATCAAGACTGATTGTTTTGTATTTTTAGGTGCGTTATATCCACAACTTTATCTGCCAACTCAGACCCGGTGTTTCTGTCCTTTGCCTCCATGGTGCCATGAACCAGTTGAAGAGGGTCGCTGCATATAATGAGTTCTGTCGCAAACAGAATGCTATACTCCTTGCTACTGACATAGCAGCCCGAGGACTAGGTATATATATATATGTACAGCATTAATTGTTTGTAGAAATTGTAAACAAATAACCCATTTTACTTGAAATAACTTTAATATTTGTTAAAATACAAAATGTATCAAGACATATTGTTTTAATAATTATTGCTTCCATAAAAATTACTATTTTTTTTCTGGGAACAAGAAATTTGCATTTGATATATTGAGTTGAACTGTCCCACATTATCGATATAACTTGTCAGAGTTACATATAATCTGATTCATATTAAGGATCATTCAGTTGATGTAATCTTTAACCTAGAATTTAAAAGAAATTTTATTTACTAAAATATGACTAAAATATTTACAATTCAAAACCAGATATTCCTGCAGTCAAGTGGGTGTTACAGCTGGACTGTCCTGAGGATGCCAACACCTATATACACAGGGTGGGGAGGACAGCAAGGTAGGGAAGACAACTGTATACACAGGGTGGGGAGGACAGCAAGGTAGGGGACACAACTGTATACAGTAGGGGAGACAACTGTATACACAGGGTGGGGAGGACAGCAAGGTAGGGGAGACAACTGGCCTTCTGTTTTCTGTCTCATCAATTTATATAGACATTACGAAATATTCTAATTTCTTAAACAGTTCATATTCCAGAATAGGCCTTAACTTAAGATTTTTGATATATAAACGATAATTCTCAAAACTGCAGGCTTTTCCAATTTGAATGAAAACCTTTTTGAATAAAACTTTTCTGGTTGTAAGATATTTTCATTTGTACAAAAAGTGATGTAGAGGAAACTTCAAAATGAAAACACAAAACAAACTAAAGCACTGTGCACATTGGATGAGGAAAAACATATATTTTTGTTAGAGAGTCACAGTCTTATATAATCAGTGTACTAAAAGTAAGTTTGATGACCATTGACTTGTAGATATGACACGGATGGGGAGTCGCTGCTCGTTCTGTTACCGTCTGAGGAAGAAGCCATGGTCCAGCAACTCAAGGAAAAGAAAATCCCAATTGAAAAAATAAAGTAAGTAGCTGCTAAAATGGCACAGAATTTTGGAATATTAAAAGTATTCTTATATTTGTAAAAATATATTTCATTTTCCGCTAAAACAGATGTGCCAACACCAAATATAAAAATAGAGGTGGTCACAAAATTGTAACATCAGATATCCTTACAGTAGCCGTTCCAGAGATAATTTTGAGTCCGAGAAACTATCACTAAAATCAAGAAATCATGACAGTTTTGATTTAAAGTAATAACAAAGCATTAAGACACTGAGACTTGATACAGTTATAGGTCATAAGAGAGATATTTAAATCAGTTGAGTTCAAAAGAACTAAAGTTAGTTTTACTATGATAATAAATTAGGGAAACTAAGTAAGTTTGGCGAGACTCCCCATTTAATGTTGTCTGGTCATCTCTTCTTTTGAGTTATAATAATTAACTGTGTAACAGAGTTAACCCAAAGAAGTTATGGAGCATACAGCCCAAGTTAGAGAGTATGTGTGCTGCTGATCATCACGTCAAGGAGTCGGCACAGAAGGTAGGTGGTACATGTGTTTACTATTCAAGTATTGTACAATTGTCCATTTGCAGCAGTATTTCTTTTCGAGACTTTTTAATGTAAAATGTGTCTGAAAATTCAAAATGACAGTAAGCTTTTACATTTATGTAATTTACCGTAAAAAATGTCAAAGCAACACATGTACATTCAACGCTGATTGAGTTTATATAATCTATTATAAACATAAAGAACACAACACATTACAAAATTGTAAATACAATAATTAGTCTTTAAAATATTGAAAAACTAAGATGCATTTTTTTATCACACATGAGAATATCATGGTTTTAGGTTTTGTGTTAAATCTGTATCTGTAGGCGTTCCTGAGCTATTTGCGGTCTGTCTTCATGATGAGTAACAAGAAAGTGTTCAATATCCATGCTATTGATACAGAAAAATATTCTGCGTAAGTTAAACTATTACATGTATCTTATTTCAGTTTTAAAGTAAAAAACTGGGAATGTCTTTTGTTGCACATCTTCGAGTATTAGATACTAATGAAAAAACTCTAGATGGTGTTTTAATTACTTAAGGAATATAACTGCACTGGAGCCATTAATACATTTTAATAGCAAGTTTCTAATCTTTTGGACATTTAACTTATTATCATTTCTGATGAATCTATTATGACTCCCTAATCTCTTCAACAATAGGTGCCTAGGCCTGGCCTTTCCCCCGAGGATCAGGTTCTTACAACGAGAAGAGAAACGGTTAGCTGAAAAAGCAGCAAATAAAACATCTGTGGTCAAGTCCAAAAACAAACCTGGAAAGTCTGGAGTTGTTGATTCCTTGGGAGATGAAGGGTTCTCAGATGTTGACTCTGGAAGTGATTCTGACATGGCTGTGGACAGTGATGAAATAGGTGTCAGCAGTGGCAGTGATGACTCTAGTGAAAGTGAAAGTGAAAGTAGACAATCTGAAAATAACCTTGAAAAAAAGAAAGTTGCTAAAAAGGCTTATTTGGAGAAAGATTCAGACACTGCTGATTTTGATGTGGAAGAGGAAGATGATTTCCTCACAGTGAAGAAAAAACATATGCCTTCTTTAGATGCAGATGACAAAAAAAAAGCCAAGGTACCAAGTAATTTGTGTCATTGTCAGTATGTTTCTTTCATTTTAGAAGACCAATTGGTTTGTTGACTTCTGAATGTAAAATTTTCATGGCATACCTGAAATAGTAAGGCAAGCTTTGAAAGCCTTTTGTTAAAAACAATCTAAACAAATTCAACTTTCTGGATTTGTCCCTATTTCATAAACAAACAACACTGGTCCAACAAATCTGATCAATGTAGGGACCTGCTGCCGCTAAAGTATTTTGATGTAATTTTGTTTAGAAGCAGTAATCCAAATATGATGTTTTCCCTTGTTGTAGCTATATAGGATAGACAATTGGTAAAGTTGTCAGTAGTAACTATATCTTAAAAATCTTGAATATTTTCCCCCCAGCAGTAACTGTATACACGCAATGAAGCATTTTTGTTTACTAGTGTACAATTGTATATCACTTCAGTAAAAGTACACTAGAGTTTTTACCATTTAAGTTGGTTTCCCAGTTTTAGAGGAGTAAAATATCAAGTCAATTTTCACAATTTTTACCACATTTAGCTTCAATAGAATGCTGTGTCATTCTAGGGAACCACACACAAATTCAATTCAACTCTTCTTTGAAAAAAAGGCTTCTGTAGCAAGGCTAATAAAAATGCATTTGTCAATTTTTCTCCTTTTCCTGGGACAGCTGTAACTGAGAACTGTTAAGAAATGTGAAAAAGTGTTTGCCATTTAGTTCATTATCTCAAAACTAATGATATTTCTTCAGTGTCGCAGAACATCCATTATTATTTTTGGTAAAGATTATATTGTATTGAATATTGCTTCCTAATGGAGAAATGATGAATCAATTATGTAGTTGATTTGACTAATAGCTAATCTTTGCTACCTTTGTGATCCACAGTCTTCTGAGCAGAGCTTTGAGATTCCCCAACGTCGGGGCAAGAAGGCTCCGACCAAGTATGCCATGGCTAAAATGATACAAAAGAAGAGCATCATGGTGAACCAGAAGGTCATATTTGATGATGAGGGAGAGGTAAGGACAAAACAAATATAGTAGAAGGTCAATATATTGTCTGTGTTAAAAGTTTAACAGAAAGTCTGATGTGATCTATAGTTTAATGTCTTTTGGTCCAAACCGTTAATTATATGGTTATTGCTCTCCAGGGGCCGCAGGGACAGGGTCATTGGGAATAGATTGGTTAAAATTTCAATAATCTTCTTCTTCACATAAAGAATACTAGAATCAAATATTCTTCATGGAGTTCCTAAAGTTCCTAAGATGTGAATTTCATTACTCCAGAGTCGCTCTCTCCACCTTAAGGAGGGTGGACATTTTACCTAAGTTTAGGGACTTAACACAAACAGGTGTACGATATATATATATGTGGTCAAGAAGCAGCAAACGCTGAAAACAGACAAAGGATCAGGTAAAAAAAGTAAAGTGTGTTTGTTTTCAATTTTAAATGTCCATGTGAGTCTGAAAACCTTGACCCCCTCAATCGGTGCTGGGTGCTGATCCAAATAGGGAAATTTTAAAAATCTTCAACTGATAATATACCCAGAAACCCCAGAATCAAATGCTTTTGCATGAGCAAAAGATCCAAAGGTGTTTTATTTTTTTAAGTTAACAATTTAAATACTCTTAAATAACCCATTGCGGGGCCCCCCCCCCCCCCATAGAGTGTATGAGCTCTGACCCTGATACCATGCTGACCTCTGATCTTTACAATGTAGACTGTGGTGGATGTGATGAAGCAGTCTAAGGTTGATGAGGAGCCAGACGATGATGAGGGTGGAATTGACATCAATGCTGCCAAGCAACGCATGGAGAAAGAGGACCAGTTTGACAAAAAACTGGACAGGGACCGTGTCCTTCAGATACACAGGGTAGGAATATAACTGACTGAACAGATATAGCTAACTAAAAAATGGACAAGGGAATGTGTTCTTCAGAAACACAGGGTAGGAATATAACTGACTTAACAGATATAGCTAACTAAAAACTGGACAAGGGACCGTGTTCTTCAGAAACACAGGGTAGGAATATAACTGACTTAACAGATATAGCTAACTAAAAAATGGACAAGGGACCGTGTCCTTCAGAAACACAGGGTAGGAATATAACTGACTTGACAGATATAGCTAACTAAAAACTGGACAAGGGACCGGGTCCTTCAGAAACACAGGGTAACAATGTTACTAACCTAACAGGTAAAGCTAACTAAAAACTGGACAGGGAACGTGTCCTTCAGAAACACAGGGTAGGAATATATCTGACTTAACAGATATAGCTAACTAAAAAATGGTCAAAGGAATGTGTCCTTCAGAAACACAGGGTAGGAATATATCTGACTTAACAGATATAGCTAACTAAAAACTGGACAGGGACCGTGTCCTTCAGATACACAGGGTAGGAATATAACTGACTTAACAGATATAGCTAAATAAAAAATGGACAAGGGACCGTGTCCTTCAGAAACACAGGGTAACAATGTTACTAACCTAACAGGTAAAGCTAACTAGAAATAGGACAAAAGATAAAAGTAACCTGTGGTTTTTGTCAGTATTCAAAGAAATGAAGTTAAACCTGATTAGTCCAAACTTTACCAACATGAATACTTGTCTTTGGAATGGACATATACTAAATTACATATAATCATATACTGGAAAATTTACCATGTGATTGTTTTCAGTGGAATTATGTCAGAAAGCTTGTAATGGACATATACTAAATTACAAGGGTTAAAACGCAAATTACATATAATTATATACTGGAAAATTTACCATGTGATTGTTTCCAGTGGAATTGTGTCAGAAAGCTTGTAATGGACTTATGACATTGAGTAGCCTGAAAAATTGTAATGTCATACATACTTCTGTATGTCTGTTTCCACTCAGTGTTAACAAGTAGATATTATCAACAACATAATTTAGTTTACTGAAAAGACATGGATTCTCATTCTTATTTGTAGGAGAAGCGACTAAAGCTGAAAGAAGAGATGAGAGCGAAGAAAAACAAGAAAAGATTCCAGGTGAGATATAGAACACATCCTATTGATTGGGATTGAACATGAAAACTGGTATATAAAGCATATTCTTAAGTACAGAAGACCGTATCATAATGATTTTCTCTGTTTATACATCTATGGCAAGTCTGTCTGTCCACACTTTCGTTTATGCAAGACAAATTGCCAAAAGAAAAGAACACAGGGGTATCGGTGGTTTACTGAATTTATATATATGTACATGTTTTGTAGAAACAGGTGGGAACATGAAAGAGGAAATGAAACAAAGAAAGAGCATGTTTATAATGAAATCACAGGAAAGATATAATAGAAATACTACAATTTGTTCAACCCAACAACAAGACCATGCAAATATAGACAATCACCTCATAGAATGTAGCATCTCTATAGGGAAATTGATACAGACTTGTGATATGGTCTTGACAACTGACTTAACTGACTCTACACACTGTTGATTAGTGAGTTGTTTTAAGCAGATGTAGAACACAGTACCAGTCATTTTTACTCTTTTGCTTGACAAAAAAATCCATTTTGGTATACATTTATTACATTTATAATAACAAGCTAAATAATCACATCCTGAATAAATTATTTGATGTATACCGGAACTCTTCCTTCTTCTGGCTTCTTTCATGTTGATGTTGACAAACTACATATTTCTGTTTGATGGTTATAATGTGTTTATGTTGACAGGATAATGATGAGGAGGAGGAGGAAGGAGAAGCAATCTTAGAGGTAGAGGAGGGTGGAGCTGATCCGTTAGACTTCCTTCCTGACCCTGACAAAGTGTATGGCTCTGGGGACGACAGTGGCGATGATGATGAGGAGGAGGAGCCGGACTTTGAGTATGTATCCTCCATATCCAGTTAACCATATGTATGTTGTGTCAGTATCACTGTTTTTCTCAATGGAACTATATATAACCCTACCAGTTTATGTTGAAATACATAGGCCAGTTGTAAACAGGATCATTATTATGACATCATAAGGATAAATTACATTGTAATTTGTATTTCCACCCTAGCTCCTACTGACAGTGATGGATTGTGAAGGTCTACAGAGCTTAATTGCAGTGTTTCATACCTGTAACATTAGATCTGTTCCTTTAATGACTTAACAACTTTTATAACTACTTGTATTGTTGATTAGGCAGTGTGTTTTATCATTTGTTAAAAATACATTTCCTTCTTTGAATATAAATACAAATTTATTTTGTGAACATATTTCAATATGTAAAAACGACATTTTCAGGCCAGTTGCAAAGAAACGGAGAGTGTCCAGTACTGATGATAGTGACAGTGATGAGTATTCTGGAGATGAAGATGTGGCTAGTGGGGATGACGATGATGATGAGGAGGACGAGGACGAGGACGAGGACGATGATGATGACACAATACAATCAGGATACACTTTACAAGATGATGAAGCACTGGCATTAAAGTTGCTTGGAAATTGAATTGTTGATTTTTATAAACTGAGTAATAAATATTTATGGCAGCAAAACATATTTTTTGTTGAATAAAAATGAATACCTTGAATACAAAAATATTGATATGATTAGTTCTCGCATGTAGGGTCTTGATCAATAGAAATATTGAATATTTGGTGTTAATTTTGTGTCTTTTGGGTAAAACCACAAAAACATTGCAAAAGTAACAAAACAAATGATGCATGTATAACCTACCTGCGCAAAAGGAAATGGGGTTATGTCTGATACCACATCGGTTGTTTGTCGGCCAGAATGTACCCTAGGGATTATAAGGAAAGTTAATGCATGCATCCTTTTGTGATATAGTTGTGCATGCTCAAGTTTTAATTAGATAAATAATGGCCATCTAATAAGTTATTGTATGAGAAGATTCTAACCGCTATTTCTGAGGACCTACTGGAAGGATCCTGATAAAAAAAACCTGTAATGCATGATTTCCTATGTGCCACAACTGTGCATGCTTTAATTTGTGATGAATCAGAAAACTAGGTGCTCGTCAAGGTCCCTGTTGGATTTTGCATGTAAAGTTTGTTGCTGTTGTTCTCAGGAACAACTAATGGGAGAATGCCAAATGATTCAGGTAGTCCCTTGCACAGGATCAGAGAATTTGTTACAGCTATATTTGGACCTAAACAGGTGTACAGAGTAATTTTACATGTTTTATGGATTAAGAACGACTTTCGGTAAAAACTAACAGCCAACAGTATGAAGTATTTTGCTGTCGCACAAATACACCCTTAAGAACATTTGAAATGCTATTACCCAAGCCAAGAGTTGTTCCTTGTTCCCATCACTTGTTCGGGTCCTAACCGCGTAACAGTAGTTTTTCTCGACTTGAAGTCCACTTCAGAATGCAAATAGCATCTTCATCCTGTATCCACATGATAAAAAGCTTTATTAAAATAAAAGAGGCATAAAAAGGATCCTAGATTTCTCGCCCTCCATGTCACCATAACCATTTCCAACTTGTTTTAAGGTCACACACATGGCCATGTCAGCGTGCCTTTATCGCACTATACATACATGCCCTCTGAGTTGAACTTTTATGAACTGCAATGTACCGACACATGATTTTTATAGTATTGAAGATAACTAATGAACGACTCGAAAGGCTAATTAAGATTCGAATCGCGCAACGATATTAAAGTAAACTTCAATGTTGAATCAACATGACGATTCAGGCACTAAGTTTGCCTGTTACTGTTACTTTGTGGTATAGTTCTTCATACCTTTAATGTTTAGGTAAACTGTTATCGGAGCCCTTATCTCACCTCAACAAACTATTTTTCTACAATGCATTCGAGGATTAAGACCTTACCGCTCTTCTCACTATCAATCCTTGTTTGGTTTGTTGAAATATCATGACCTTGTTATGGAAGCATGAAGTCTTTTGTAACCAATGCATAAAAAGAATAAAACATTCATTTTTTGTTTGTTTTCTCTTTATTTTCGTACGACAAACATACAATATGAAAAGTTGATGTAAACAAGGATACAATATCCTGTATCCATGGATTCCACAGCCTACACGTTAACCACGGGATAATGTTATAACCGTACAACTTGGGCACACCACCAGTGTCCCTGGTTACTGGTGTTCAAAATATTCCTAATGTCGGGAAGCATAGAGAGACGTATCGATACAAATCGAATTATCATATCTGTGTTATGTCTTTCCGATTTCATTTGGCAATGGCAACTGAGCTGGAGAATGGTCCACGTGTGAACATGTATTCATTGCACTTTTAATCTCTATTACTTAACAGCACTATATGTTCTCTTGGTAGATTTACATTAGGACATTTACAGCACATGGTACTAAAGAATATATGTCCCATACACAGAGCAAATCAAATAACACCTTAAGTAGAGACAACCGCCCTCCCCGCCGATGTAGATACGACTTATCTTTTGTTTTGTTCTCATCTGTCCGTCTTGTGAATTTTATTATGTAGCATTGATTCAACTGCGTGAAACCTTGGATGCACTTAACATATAACTAGTCTAGTGAACACAAGCTACAGCGTATATACACAGCACAACCACAAACGGGACATCGACACATTGTCATTTATATTGAAAATGATTGATAAGCGATTGACTACAACATTCACGCGTTATGAACGCACTTCCGTTTCTCAGAACATTGTATATGTCTGTCTGTAACAACGTCACTCACTTCTAGAGACCGTTTCCGGTGGGAGGAATCAGAAACGTCTGTGAAATTACTATCCGTGTCGGAGAAACTGTCACATATTTCTTCGCTAAATCGTGATTTGGATGACGGACTGTTCGACCGCGAATCTCTTTCCGCGAACTGATGTAATGTGAAGTGGTCCTGCTCAGTGTCATCTTGGGCGAGAATGTCCTCAAGGTGTTTAATATAGTCTATGGCCTTCCGTAACGTGTCCACTTTACTGATGCGTTTGTCTTTGCGTTCCAGTGGCAAGTGCTCTCTTAATCTTGTGTAGCCGTCGTTCACGCACCGTACGCGATCTCTTTCGCGCTCATTTCTTTTCCCGATACAACTTGGTTCACCCTGCTCCGCCAGGACAGAAGGCAGGGGAATTATACACAAGGGAGAAAATGGGTCTCGTTTTTGGATCACGCCCTTGAGGGAGGCTTCATACCTCAATCCGTCAAAGTGTAAGGCAGGGTTTTTTATTTCCCTTGCAGACGAAGGAAATATTGGAACACATGGTTGTTCGTCATAATCTCGCGGAATTCCGAGTTCTTCACAGGTCGGTGACGAGATCTTTATAGAAAACATGGCGTTGGTATTTGTTAAGCAATTGATGGTGATATCTGAAAAATATAGAACATGGATTGACATATTATTAAGAGAATCATATTTTATTAATGAAAAAACCCCATAAGTATCACAATAGATTCTCATAGTTTAAGATATTTTGAAAGTTTGGTGTTGTTTGATGAATACATGTGCGTTTCCTTTCTTTTAATATGCCACGACTTATACGTGTAACGAAGGTAAAAAAGGTGGGACCCTTGTATGAATGATTACATGTATACATATATGACAATAGGTAAGCTGGTACTTAGGAAGAATCTTCACGGTGTGGTTTGACGCTTTCACCTAGGTTTGACGCTTTCACCTAGGTTTGACGCTTTCGCACATTTTCACCTGATCATGATCCTTTTTTAGTAATGGCAGATTTCAGTTTTCGATTTTCCGAGTTTTCGTCTTTCAGTTTGATTTTAACATATTTTATTCGTTCAATCTCACAAATGGGATTAGGCACAAGTTATCACAACTTAGAAACGCCTTCTCCCAAAAATTACATTGTTCATTTTAACATATCTACAATATAATACACTTTCATCTGAATTGATTTAAAAATACTTCCGTTTTGCTCATCCGACAGGTTTTTGAGAACCACAAAGAATAATATTGTTTGTGACGTTACAGTACCGAGAAATGCTATCGATTAAAATTTCATGTTGTCTTCTATACAACATAGAATCCAAAAAATAATGCACTACATTTTCGCAGTCGTTTCCACATGCACGCGCTGGATCATTAATAATATTAACTCGGAACAAATCATATTTTAAACTACTACAAGCATGTCGCAACATTGTATGTAAAACATCTAACTTTATATTTCCATATAATAATAAATAGGCAATACATCAGGGTTACCGCGTTGAATTTTAGATTTAAAACGGTTGATGCATAGCTGCTCTCTGACATTGATTGGTAAATTATTCCATAATCTAACAGAAGACGGAATGAAAGATTCAAAAGAAATGGATAATCGAAAATTCGGAACAGTGTAATTTTCATTATTTCTAACGTTGTATATATTACGTTTAAATTTAGTGAGCCAGTCTTTGGACCATTTGTTAAGTTTCTGTAAGCCGCTATCTAAAGATCTTTGAATATCTACATAAGGTGATGAAGAATACATCAAAAAAGTATCATCAGCAAAGAAACGTGAACTACTATTCAAATTATCAACAATATATATTAAAAACAAAAGTGACCCCAACACACTTCCCTGTGGAACACCTGCATTTGTGGAGCCTGGATCAGAATACACATTTTTAACTAAACCTAGTTGCTGCCTTCCTGATATGTATTTTTTTTACAAATTTAATAGACTACCTCTAATACCATATGCTTCTAATTTAATGAATAAACCCCTATGCCATACACGTCAAATGATATATCGCAAAAAATAAGGCAGGTGTGGTTTTTTGTCTTCAAGAGAACAACAAATATTATGGTATATTTCTATTAATTGGTATACTGTAGAATGATGTGACATAAAACCAGATTGTTTTTCATAAAATAAGGAGTTATCAAGATTTTTTTATAAATATACTTAAACACTACTCTTTTGAAAACTTTACCGATACAAGATAATGGAGAAATTGGGCGATAATTGGACACCAAATGTCTGTCCTCTTTTTTAAATAAGGGTAGAACAATTCCCTTTTTCCAAATTTCAGGGAAAACATTTTGGTTTAATGACATATTAAAAAGAATTGCCAAGGGCTTACATACGGATCTTGCTGTAAATTTTAACATGTGATGGCTTATGCTATCGTGACCAGATGCTTTTCCTAATTGAGAATTTTCAAGATATCACAAACTGCATCAAATCTGACAACGAGAGAAGCAAAGTAAGAATTAGTTCTCTAGTTAAAAGTGGCTAATGGAATGTCCTTATCATTTATAGTAGAAATGGAGCAAAAAAATATATTCAATATATTAGACTTTTCGGCATCGCCAAGTTCAACATTTCCATTATGAGGATTTAATAGTGGTGGAATAACTTCCTTTGAACCTGACTGCTTGAATAGTTTACGAACAAGTCTCCAATAAAATTTAGGGTTACTGGTATCGGGTTTATCAATAATATCACCAACGTTATCATAAAATAATTCCCTCATATGCTTTTTCTTGTTGTTAACCTTTTTTCTTTGCTTTTTATATTGTGCTAGATTGGAAGTGGACTTAACACGTTTCAATTCTTTGTGATTCGGTCTCGTAGCCGCACACTTTCCTGAGCTCAGAATTCATCCAAAGTTTATCATGTGGTCTTATGGGACCATTTTTTGGGGACCATTTTGCAGCAAAAGATAAAAACTGCTCGGTAAATTTAACACTGGCAATATCAACAGAATCAAAAGTTTGAAAAAGTGCAGTCCAATCAAAATTATCTATCAAAAAGTTTAACTTATTAAATTCAGCATATTTGTATGACCAATCTTCACGAGTATAAGTACGAGATAAGTTTACTGGTACAGACACAATACTACACATGGGTCATGGTCGCTACTGACACGGTCTATCGTAATGACATGTGAATCATTACATTTAGAAATACAATTGGATGTCTTGTCATTCCACGTCTGGTTGGTTCATTAATAACATTTGTCAAATCTAGTTCCAACATAATTTGAAATAAAATATGATTATGCGATAAGGTTAACAAATCAACATTAAAATCTCCAACAATTATCACATAAGATGTAATTTCTAAAGCTTTCTCAACTGAATATTTTAAATTTTCCCCAAAATGAATAACATGAACTTTCAGTTATTTCTCTTTGTCACTTGGAACATTTAAGTGGACAAGTATCCATTGGTTTTTAATGTAATTCATTGTACACAATATATACAATGAGACGAAATGTCCTGTTTGAGCAAGTATACACAAAGAAAGCACTACTGTTATTAAAAAAAGAACGCCCCGAATAAAACTCAAATCGCAACAGTAAGTCCAAGCAATATATAGTTTAACATGGTCATTATTTCAATGATAATGATAAACATTTACTGCTACATATACACCACTTACAACTAATATCGTTTCTAAATTTATTCTGTGCCAAACAAGTCGTGACATTCTTTCCTTTATAAATATTTTGAAAATGTTGATAATGTTAAATGAATGCTACGTACTCGTGCCAAAAAGCCACAAGCCACAAGCACTTTTCCTGGCATTTATTCCTTTTCAGTGAAATTTTATTAAGTCAATTGTTGCGATATTGAAAAGAAAAAAAATAATAGTATAGTCTGATTTTTTCAACTTTTATAATATTTTGATAATTTGTCGTGAAGAGGGTTTTCGGATATTTTGAGTTCTTATCGTAAAATTTTCCTATGAATTTAAAACGTCACAACGTCAACAAATATAGTTCAATTGGAAAAAGTTTTGAAATATTTAGATTTTTTTTAATGAAAAGGTCTGAGAGTATCACGAGAGAAAACGTGAGAATATTCTCTTATATGATACAATTATGCGTTTCAATAGCATCATAATGACTTGTGAAAGTTAACGGAACATAATGGTAAAAGTGCATGAAATATAGAAGAAAACGCTTCTGACATTTTGTATTTGACACGGGACTTTATACCATGTATACTATTGTAATGAGTAATATCGACGTTGCATTACCAACAAGTAAGCCGAGGTTTCTGTACAATTCTGTTAACAAACATCCATAGTCAATACGCCTTCACTCAAAATCACTCTATTTAAATTTACTTCATAGTGCACACGATCGCTCGATATATCAAAGTATATAAAATGTATAAAAATAATGACACAAACAGGATGAGAGCCCACTAAATCGGAAATGTAGGTACTAGCGCTACAGTCTACATTTGTTCTTATATATTGCTAAGTTATATAACTAACAAGATTGTTCCGATAGTCGATTCCTGCACTGTAATTTGATATATCAATCATTGATGCTTATAGAATACACGCAGTTATACAAATAATTATTATTCATTTTATGTACAAAATGTGTCTATATGGCAGGAACATGGCTGATCTGTCCAACAATATACCAGACAATGTGCTTTCGCGATAAATTCAAAATATAGACATTATCTAATACAGCTGCATGTACCCTTCAATTTTACTGTTTTTGTAAATACAAAATACATCAACGTTTACATTTGAAAAATAAGGAACAGTGTACAGAATATATGGACCGTATGCTCACGATAAGACACCAACTTTTATAGTATATTGAAGTTTGATAAACAAATATAATTTAATTGAAATATATTTCTATTTCTTTCGTTTAGTGTGATTTGACGTTACAGTTTGTTGTCAGTTCGTAGATAAGTGAGGATAGTATATATTGCCCAAATTCGTTTAACATGGTCAGCACTTGTTTGTGTTCATTGAACTTTGATAACACCTTCAGCCTTATAAACATTTGTTAAACGTTCCCCCGTAATTTAAGAGAATTAGGGAGTGATTAACTATTTTTCAATGTGTAACATTGTTTCTCTTGAGCTCATTAAAATAAAACTTAATGAAATAATTTATTTTGTTTATTTAAAGCACGATAATGTAATGAGAAAAGACACATTACTTATTTGTAGTTAACGTTTACCTATTTAGGAATAAACTGATAAAAAGAAATTTACAAAGAAAATTTAAATGAAATGCATATATATTTATAGAAAATGAATCTGCCTTCCGATCCCATAAGAAAAATGAATGGGTATAGCTTATTTAGAATGAAATATACATTTCTAAAATACCAAATCTTTGATTCATATCTGTAATACTAACATGTGTATTTTCTTTTTCTGATAAAATCTTAATAAGATCTTTTTAAAAATCCGTTTTAAACGAACAAAATAGTGCCGCCATACCATACGTCTTGTCATACGTATAAATTGTAATTTAAATTATACGTACCCGAATTCAAATAAAAGGTTCCTCCATTTCCAACTTTTCACCTGAACAGTCTTCAAATGAATGGCATTTACGAGTTCTTTGATCTGTTTTCCTCTTGATATCAGCCCAATATTTTTTTCTGGTATATGAGGAAATTCTCGCCTCCGATCTGCTTATGCAAATAAGCTCCTCTCTCAGGCGCGTGTCTCGGGCTTTCAAGTGTCACAAGGGATTATCTCCCTTCACCAATCAGTAAAACTCCACAAAAAGCGGATTTTGTCACTTGAGCGTGGTAAATACCATTCTAAAACACATCACCACGAAACTTTCTTGTGGAGGGGGGCTCACGAGAAGGCTATACACATTATTATAGTGAGATAAACATCGCTCTTTGTGGCCTAAGGTCATTTTTAACACATAATTGTGTATGTTACACGACACATTTATCCACTCATATTTAACCTTTGAGGAAGAAACACAGATAAATTACAAGAAAAAACAAAGTCATAGTTGACTTAGTTTTGTTAATATTTTGTCCGGATTTAGACCTGAGTGTTATATACGACCCAGTGACGGCATTGTACCCGGATTACCCCGGGCTGTCAGGAATATATTCAGCTTAACGCTCTTCCAAATTTTAAATTTTGAGTGAAAATTTAAAAATAATACAAAATTGATTAAGTTTTCATTAACAAATTAGAATAAACTTCCAGTTCTTTTTAGATTGTAAAAATGAAAAATAAAAAGTTTTTAAAACTAATTAGTCCAAAAGCTTTTCTTCAAAACTTATTATACTTGAAAATATATATAATGCTTTGAGAAATTGTGTTTGTCTATGTCTATGCACAATGATTTGAATTTCTGTCAATTCAAGTTAACTTTCACCAGAAATGACAGACATTCAAACGGCTATATTCCAGCTCCAATGCTACTGTACGAGGAAGCTAACCATGCAATATGTATCAAACCACAATGTGTTTACGTTGTTGTAATTATAGTATACCTACAAAGACTGATCTTATCAAAGGTATATCAAAATGTATTAAATTCCTTTCATATTTCGTCACTGTCAAGTTATGTCCGACAGACATTAAAGGCTACCGTTAACAATACATTAGCACTGACTAGCTATTGTTCAATATTATTCTATTTTAACGGAACATAGATCTGTCAAGTAGACGTTACATTTCCGCATTAGACAAATGTTCCCCAACATTACGTCATAACGGTACTTATGAGAAGTTGTATTAAGAAAACATTAGATAAAGGATTAATACCTGTATTGAAGTTTAATTAAGTGATTTGTTTGATAGAAATGTATTCTTTGGATTTAACAAATATCCTCTAATTTTGAGTATTAACCATCGACGTAATCCAACATTTATTACTTAATTAAAGACGGTATATTTGAGTCATCTCCTTTAGGGTTATTTCGGTCGTGTACCATTAATAATTTGGCCTACCCGGTACATGTTTCTCGGACGTCTGCATTAACCATTTCGGCATATCTCGGACTTTTACCAGTAATCATTTAGGCCTAATTCGGACTTCTAACAGTAATCACTTCGGCCATTCTCGGACGTCTACCAGTAATAATTTCGTCATACCTCAGACTTCTAACAGTTACCATTTCGGCCTTTCTCGGACGTCTTCCAGTAATAATTTTGGTTTATCTCGGTCATCTTCCAGTGATCTTTTCGACTAATCTCGGTCGTCAACCAGTAACCTTTTCTGATTATCTCGATCGTCAAACAGTAACTTTTTCTGATTATCTCGGACATCGACGTTGACGTAACGATATACACGTCATCGTTTCGGTCAGTGCTAATTCGATTTGTCGGGACTTGCATCTATAGGTCATGGTTAAAAGTTTTTTTGGACGTGTACCATCGTCAAGTAATCGTTTTACCTTCTATATATTTATCCCAGACGTAGATGTGTACGATACTCATTTTGGTTTATTTCGTAATAATTTCGGTCCACCTATGACATAATACGAAACGTTTTCCATGCCTATATCAGAAACAGCTCGACCAGTGTTTCACATAGAGTCGACGACATCCCGTTAGTACATCGGTAAGCTTTCACGTCAAATGCACACGTTAAAACTGTTTACTGTCCTGCTTTTAAATAAATATATCGAACCTTCAAATCTACAGAATTATATACACGTACATAAAAAGTACAGTACTTGTACCCAGCATATCGATTTTAATTTCTCGATGAAGTCTTCAAGTGTTAGTAGCTTACCATCACCTGTCCGTTGTGCAAATATAATGATTGATAAGGCGGAATTGATATTATAAGATAGTTCTCTCACATTTAGCAGTGTAATCTTAAAGCACAATAAAAGGAGCGTCCTCTTAAAACAGCTGTGTACCTCTAGGTATTTAACAAGACGAGGCTTGTAATTAAATATTAACGGCGACGTTATCTCCAAGTGCTGACGGAATGGGTCTTTAATCGGTTCGAGGCTTACCCTGGCCTCAAGTATCTTATTCTCAGTGAGCACACCAGTTAACTCTATACCCTTACATTAAAGTGCCCATCGTTAATTGTTTTATCGCGAACTGATACAGAATGCACGCGCCCGTTATTTAACGGTTACCATGACAAGATAATCCGCTGACGTCGCCCAGTGTTTGGTTTGTCCGGCAATGGTAGCGGTTCTATTCGGAGAGAAGCATTCAACAACGCCGTTTGAGATAACACGTTTATATCCTTGGACCACTAGACGGTGTCCAATCTAAATCTGAATCAATGGTGTCCGATGCCAAAGATACTAAATTTATTTTTTCGCTTATTGTCACAATGGAAAAGAAACTTAAAAAAATATCGGTGAAAATGATCATACGATTTAGAAACAGTAAGACAATTGGTGTTCCGCTCTCGGTGTATGCGGCCAAACTCTACCTCATTAGTATTGCATATACTGTACTTAAAACAACCTATTCAGTCCGATTGAAGGAACTTGAATGCATTTATACCAAGTTCATCATAATGCAATCATCAAATCACCACACAAATTATCACTGCCAATATGCACTTGGCATATATAATTGCAAACATTTTACTTGAATAATTTGCAATGGGATATTAAAGCTGTACATTGCCAATTTCGACTTTAAATAATGTCAGATTAGATGACAACGTTAAGTGATCTCGAGTGGAAACAAAAGACTTATATAGGTATTGCGTTAGCGCGCAGTTGAAAGGCTTTCCATAATAGCTGTGTCCGGGAATGAAAATGGGTTTGCATACAGAAGGAGTGACTCAGATTTATGACAAAGATATCAAATATCGATGAATATGCCAAAGCTAATAATGTTTTCTTGAAGGAGATATCTAAATACAATAAGTGAACTATTTTACTTGTTTTGACCCTGCGGCAATATCAAAGCTAAACTGCTAATCTTTCACAAACTTACACGAACAGAGATGTATATAAGCGGAAATGTTTTCGTTCGCACCATTTAATTTTAAAAGAAACTATAAAAATATTAGGGATTTAAAACTGACATTCTGTCTATGGTGACACCCCGTGGCGTTAAATCCCCTGTATCGCCGACAGAGGGGCTTGACTGTGGTCAACAGCTATCTCTTGGTATACGTTGACGTTTGTCCGGGTTCTCTTGAATATTGAAATAAAAACGAATACAAATATGTGTCGTGCAAAATTCGACGAAAGAAAAAACAACGGTTTAATAAAATGTCTGTATCGCATGCTCGAAGAGAATGGCTTTGTGTCGGATCTCGGGACTGTGGCGTCATGCTTATCCACGCTAATCCCCGCCAAGTAGGACAAACAAACAGCGGTCAAAGACACTAATTGCAATTTAGTCGTGTTTTATAAGGTAAATACCATTACAATCAAAAGCTTATCTGTTAAATACCCAGCTAACTCGGACAAACAAGTGTTTTTATTGTAACTTCAGTGACGATTCGGTCATTTCGCGGATTATTTATTCGTACGTGTCGACATGGAGCCTATCTGTATTTAAATTGTTGCAGGCCAGTGTCTAGAGGTGTTTACATTCCACCTCCGAATAATAATAAAAAAAACCAAAAGCGCCGATGATATGATTGCAAGTTAATGGAGAACATATGATCGAGGTGAAGATTCAATATCAATTTAATGTTTTTATAACAAGTAAAAAAACGTGCAAAGGAAATTATAGTTCAGCAATGTATGCGTTAGGTACGGCGTACTACGTATTTCCCCCGAAAGGTATACGTAGTACCTGGTACGTATTGACTACACAGTTAGGTATGTCGTTTCAAGTCATATCAGCATTGGTAGTGACGTTTTAAGTCGTATCAGCGTTAGGTATGACGTTTTAAGTCTTATGAGCTTTAGCTATGAAATTTCAAGTCATATCAGCGTTAGATATGACGTTTTAAGTCATATAAGCGTTATGTATGACGTTTCAAGTCATATAAGCGTTATGTTTGACTTTCAAGTCATATCAGCGTTAGGTATGACGTTTTAAGTCATATCAGCGTTGGCTATGACGTTTTAAGAACATCTCAAAATATGTCGCTCTAAATTGCTCTCTTTCTATATATTCCCGTTCTTGAAATACTTTGTCTCGAAATACACATTTTTTGAAGACCTTAATATTCTAAACATGTGCATCACATCACCAACTCAGGTTAAATATATCATTTGTAAAAATAATAACTAAAGTATCAATTAATAAATATTATACTTGTTTTAATTGTTATGTAAATATGAAAAAGAGGTATAGCTAGAAAAGCTGTTAATAAGTTGTTATAACGTGTCTAATCCGTGTTAAATGTTTTGGTAATACATATATTTAAGTAACCTGACGCGTTCGGTTATCATCGTCACCTTCCTGTTTATCCGTCAGACTAGAGACACCAGAATCACATTTCGATAAATTGAGATGACTGTAATACAGTGTATAATTGTGTACTCTAGTTGGTTTTTAAACTTTCAAAGTTAAAGGTGGAATTAGTAAAATTATTGATTGTTTTCCCAGACCTCTGGAATAGTATATATAACTGAGTTGAATGTTTTCAATCTAGTACGGTTTAACTAAAACTTACAAATATTCTGATGTGTCTCACTCAACAAAAATGTTGACCTCGAAAAGATGGCGTGGTTGCATTGATCTCTGTTTGCAAAGAACACTACACGTGTTCGGACAACGATTTTGCAAAATAACTCCTCTATTTCATCGTTTCATTGAGATT